TCGATGCTTTTCAACTATACTTACGTGCATAATGTTAGTTGAATACGGCCTATGATTATCGAAAGAAGAACGTACGTCCGGTCAGGAATTTTTGCCTTGTGTTTGATGAACATTAATGTGATTATCGCTTGTTCTAAATGTACATAATTTTATTAAGGAGGTACAAACGTTTTATAATGCAACAATATTAATTTTCGTCATAATATTTATATAGACTTATCCCACTTTAGTTGAAATTATTATATACAATACAGATTTATACTATTAGCCAACCTCATACATACCTGGAATTAAACTTTAGGTGAGTTTACAAACAGAGTATATAATATATGTTACCTACAAGTCTTTTTATTCGCGGCATTACCTTCATTTATAATGGTATCATTTTTTCTACACCCATTCGCCATTCAACTAACAATGAGTCTCGCAACGACTTTATTGCTTTATATAGTATATTACTGCTATTGCAGCAGCTCTGCGTGAATTGACAGATTAGGCAACATCACGAAATACCACATACTCCCTAGCGACACAAGGCAACTTTTTTAGATACCTAGAGTTTTATTTATATATTATAGCAATTTCAATTACTTCACACGAGTTGGACGTTGTCGTCTTTATTACTTGCTTAAGATATTGCCTTTTGGCTGAATATCAAGATATTTATAAAAGAATAATGAAATTCACAATGCAATTTTAATGCACTATTGCTTGAGCCCTGAACATTTTGATTACGACTTAACGATTAACAAAATAAGATAAATATTTTAGACGTATGTAAGTAGGCTACCTATCAAATGTATTTTATTAGAGATCATTTTGGGGAACCAAGATCAATTTTAGTACTAATATAATTACATACTTTATTAGATAATCCTTCTAATCTAATTAGATTTAGATGAAATTATCGCAAGAAGATTTAGTAATTACCAATAAATCAATTCAAAAATCATGTAATACCTAGTGGTTCCTTCAACGCTAAAAACTAACTTAGCTTTCACATTGCATTATATGATCATGGCCATCAATCTATTTGTCAAATCGTCATAATCGTAGAATAATGTCGGTTTTGAAAAAGAAAACGAAATTCAGTTTTTACCATATCTGTATACTACATTGTCTAAAATTTAGACAATGTAGTAGGGTAAGGTGGGGATCTGTGTTACACTGGGTACACTGTTACAATGCACATATCTCCTTCTCTGTCATTCAGTTTTCTAATGTTGGTACACAGCTTTGACAAGCTCATAGGCGGCCATATTGAAACTGTTGTCATTGCCTCAGTTTGTACCGCGTTTCAAAGAGAATAGACAAAAAACGAATTTATGTGATCAAAGAAAAAATTACGATAGTTTTTCATTTGTTGCCTAAGGTTTTAAATGAAGGTAAGTGATTGTGAGTTTCCTCTATTCACTGTATATTTAGCTTCAAATTATCGTTGTTGTTTTTTGTAAATACAACCTATAAGAATCACTTGCTTCTTTTTTCGAGTTACCTCGCCTGGGGCACTGTGTTACGGGGCACTATGTGACACTGTAACAATGAACCCCCAACTGACATTTCTTTTTATATTGTACTTAGGTTTTAAAAGATGGTGCGAAATCGTAAGAGTAAGACGGATTACGGCCTCCATAGTGAAAAAAATATGAGAGAAGCGATTCTGATGGTAGAAAGTGGGATAAGTCTTCGAAAGGCAGCAAAGGAAAAAAAAGTTAATTTCATGACATTGCAAAGATACGTAAAAAAGAAGAAGGAATGTTCAGAGCAAGAAGCCGGACTTATATGACTTACTCCAAATTATGCCAATAGAACAGTTTTCAGTGCCGATCAAGAAAACGCATTGCAGGAATATTTAGTAAACTGTTCTAAGATGTGCTATGGTTTAGATACAGTTGATTGTAGAAAACTTGGTTACGAGATGGCTGTTTACAATAATTTGAAGATGCCACATAGCTGGGAGAATAAAAAGATGGCAGGAATTGACTGGTTATATGGATTTAGAAAACGTGTAGATTTAACATGGGCAACATGAATATAAATATATTTTTCAATAACTTGGAAGGCGTTATGCGGCGATCTCCTTGTTTTGCAGATGGTAGCAGAGTTTACTGTTTGGATGAAACTGGAACAACTACCGTTCAAAAACCAAAGAAAATCATTGCAGCAAAGGCAGCTAAACAGCTGAATAAAGTAACGAGCGCCGAGCGAGGAACACTGGTTACGTGTTATGCAGTATCTGCAATGGGATCACCACTGCCTCCAGCAATGGTGTTCCCTAGGAAACAGTTCAGGTCTCATATGACTATTGGTGCACCATTAGGAACTTTAGGCCTGGCTCAGCCCACCGGTTGGATGAACAGTGAATTGTTTCTTGAAGTCATGAAACATTTCATAAAAGTAACTGCCTCTTCAAAAGAAAACCCGGCTTTACTTATTGGTGACAATCACGATAGTCACCTGGCACCCGCGGTATTGAATATCGCAAAAAAATAATGGAGTTACCCTATTAACTATACCACCACATTGTAGCCACAAACTGCAGCCACTTGATGTGTCTGTGTTTGGTCCGCTGCAAACATACTGCAACGCGGCTGCTGATTCGTGGCTAATGCGTCATCCTGGAAAGACAATTTCCATCTACAATATTGCTGAATTATTAGAACAAGCCTTTGATCGAGCCATGACACCCACAAATATCAAATCAGGAATATATCCATTTGACAGACATATTTTCACTGACGAGCATTTCATGCCAAGTGAAGTGACTAATCGGCCCTTTAAAAATCCTGCTAATGCTTCATGCTCAAGTGAGCCCCTTGAGCCTCAAGCAGCTTCCTCCTCTGATGCCCCCGGCTCTAGTCAGTGCTTTGAAACTCAACAAGTTTCTTTAAGTTAGTCCTCAGAAACTCATCAGATTACTGTTACCGATACAGAACTACATCCATCTTCTATAGTTCTGATACCAGCTTCTTCAGATCAACAAATATTGTACAGGCGTTCTGAGTCCCTAAGCCCAAGTTTGCTTTCGAACACATGTTTTGAGATGAATACTCAACCTGCGGAAACACCATCTGAAACTGCTAAAGAGAACTGCTCATTACCAGATTTTCTATCGTCGCAAGAGGAAACTCTACTTAGTCCTATAGGATGTCGGGCTTATCCAAGTGCACAACCGAGACTACAATCGAACCGCGGTAGAAAAAGAGGAAAAAGCTGCATTCCAACTGATACACCTATGAAAAACGAAATTGAACAAGAAGCCTTGAAAAGAGAAATAAAAAAATTGGGAAAAGAAAATAAAAAGAAAGTGTCACAAAGAAAAGAAATTCCTTACAAGAGAACTAAGAAAACTAAAACTACCAAAATAGTTCTATTTATTGATGACTCAGAGTGATTTAGAAAATATCCCGATATCCTTATCCGACGATTTAACATCTGAGGACGAAGTTCCTGTAAATTATCTCGTAAAACCTAAAAAGGACGATTTATTTTGTCGTTAAATTTGTTGGTAAACAACTAATTAAGCATTATGTTGGTAAATTACTGACAGATATTGAAAATAATGAATTTGACGTCAGCTATTTACGTAGAAGTGGAAAAGTTAATTTTCATTTTTATTTTACTCTCGAACCAGATATGGCGACAGTGTCGTTAGAAGATATTGAAATCGTGCTTCCTCTTGCAAACGTTGCACCAAAAATGACCAAATGTCAGGCGTTATATACGTTTTATATTATATACGTTCCCAAACAATATTATTAAGAAATTTAATATTTGTTAGAAATGTTTGTCATCTCTTATTGTTAATTTTTCTCTAATTTTTTATCTTGTAACATTGTGTCCCTTGCCCTGTAACAGAGTACCCCAGATATGGGGCTCAATGTTACAATAGACTGATCTGATTATACTGCAATTTGAACTAAGTTGTTGCTATTAATATTAATGTTTAAATAATTTTAAATAAAGAGAGACTATCATAGTTTATATCCATGTCAGTTACAATTTGATTAAATAAATATTTTCGTTGCTACATTGTCGTTTGTGTTTATTGTAACACTGTGCCCCACCTTACCCTATACAGATATGGTAAAAACTGAATTTCGTTTTCTTTTGAATGAATAATATTGAATGACGTAATAATATTTAGACTCTAAATATTATACGTCATTCAAGAAAAAATTATATGTATTTTAAATTATTCAGTGTTTGTTTGATATACGCTCAAAGTAAAATGAAGCATGTGAAAACAAACCCTATTTTTTACTTGTATGCAATTTTCATACTGATTTAGAATTTTAAAAAGTTACGTCAAAAAAACTAACATTATTATTTGAAACGGCTGCCCAGTAAAGTTTAATGTCAGATCCGAAACTATTCTACGACTATGATGAAATATTTGCAGTGTTAGCTCAAATATCCATAGATACACACTAATCTAACTTCGCGTCTATTAGTGCTACATTTATTTAATTTTGCCATTGTTATAATTTATTTTCATCCAGACTATCCAGACTATACAGTGATAGTCCAAATTGTAGATTTATACAAATTAAATATCTTGTATGAAATAGCATTAAACAATTTCAATACGTCTTAATTTTCGATCCTTAAAGTTGGAAATATATTCTTTGAATTTAATGGAACAAACCTTGAGTACAGTCAGCCTCAAAAAGACCTCAACCCCCTAACCATTATTATTATTATCATGAATTGTTTATGTTATGATTTCCAATCCTATCATTATTACTGGTCTTGTTGTTAATCAAATGAAGATGATATAAAATACCAAATTACGTTGGTTACGATTTAATTTTTGCATTTCCTAAGTATCTACCATATTTCGTGACTATAGTTGATTTGATTACAATAATATTGTTTTAGTAAAATTGATGTACACATTACAATAGAATTTTGTTGCGTTTTCGAGGTGACTCCAAAAATAGTTTTACAACACAAGAAAATTCATTGGGATCTTGAAACTCAGTTTAAACTCGTTTAACATGTGGCCACATATCCATAACCAAAACACGACAAACTTGGTTTTTAAACAGAATGTAAAGAATGCCTTGAGTACCATAGCACCTATCTATTTGTTTGCATTTCATTACCAAGCTAAAATCCTGGGTACTGGTACCCTGGGCGGACGGCATTCGGTTTTATTATCATTATTTAATTCTTTTTGCACAAATAATAATTGATTGTACAATGGCGGACTTAATGCCACAGGCATTTTCTTCCAGTCTTTCTTTGGGTGGTAGTGAAATATCCGAGTAGGCTTTACTGAGATTTCCATGGGCGTACCCAGGAGGGGCCGGGGGGGGGGGGGGGCAGCTGAAAAAATTACATGGTGCACAAATATGATCTATTTATTGATTTTTAAGAAAATCGTGGACTTCGTTTCGATTTCGAATCTATTTGAATTCGAATCGTTTTACATTGGAACATACGTATAGATCGAAAAAAAAACGCTTTTTTAAGTCAGTTAAAAGTAGTGATCAGTGAGAATGTCAAAACAAATGTATTATTGACTAATGGCTTTCGCTGGCCAGACTACAGAAACATGTTTTTTTAGCCTCATTGCTTTATTTTCGCAGCCACAAAACCAAAAAAGAGGAAAATAACGAGTAATGACAATGAAGATAATGCCAGTGTCGGTAAATCTAGTGAGGGAGATCCAGCACCAGCATTTGAATCTACATCCACTCTGGAAGATGGAGATAATTGTCATAAAAATGATATCGGGCGATGGGTTGGACGATCTTTCGTAATGACTACCGAGATGCGAATGGAAATGTTAAAGCGATGCTGGGCACCTCCAGAAAACTATGATTATGCTGGTGATGCCGCGCATTTGAAACGAAAATTTAATCACTCTTGGTTAGAAATGTACAAACCTTGGCTTGTTTACTCAAAGAAATCGAAAGGTGCTTTTTGTTTGTTTTGCGTTTTATTTCCGCCGAAACTTGTACGTGGTGTACAGGGATCTCTGATTGTCCGACCTTTCACTAAATATAAAGATATACACAATGATTGTAAGCACATGTAGATAGTCAATGGCATAGATAATCAAGTACAGCTGCCAATTGTTTTGGCAACGCAAAAACAAATGTACAGGTTGCTTTGCAAACAGGCCACGCAAAACTTATTGAAGAGAACAGAAATACGTTACAACCTATAGTTAATACAATAATTTTTTGCGGTACTCATGATTTGCCATTGAGAGGAAAAGAAAACGATGAAGGCGTGTTTCGAGATTTGTTGAAACTGAAAATTGATTCTGGTGATGAAATTTTGCGAAAACACTTAGAAAAAGGCCTTAAAAATGCTCAATATACGTCCCCGAAAATACAAAATGAGATTTTAAATATATGTGGAGTTCTAATTAGAGAAAAATTGGTCGATGATGTTAAGGCCTACGCCTACAGCATTTTGGCTGATGAAACAGCTGATATTTCAGGAAAGGAACAACTATCAATAGGTCTTAGATATTACGATCAAAAGGAAAAAAATGTTAAGGAAGAATTTATCGGTTTTGTCGAGTTACAAAAAATGGATGCTCAAACAATAGCTACTGAAATTAATGGATTCATCAATGCTCTAAACATTGATGTTAACAAATGCGTCGGACAGGGCTACGACGGATGTGCTACGATGGCGGGGAAAGATGGCGGTGTCCAAAAAATATTGAGAGAAACGTTTAAAAAGGGTTTATATTTTCACTGCGCTTGCCACAAGCTAAACGTTATTTCGGATCTCAGGAACATTATTTAAGTCGTTTACTACTAGAGTAAACGACTTAAATAATGTTCCTGAGATCCGAAACTGCATCGGAACTGTAAAAGATACGATAAATTTTTTCAGGGAATCAGTTTTGCGTCAAAAATATGCACCGAAAATACCATTGCTGTGTGAAACAAGGTGGTCGCATAAATACAAAAGTATTTCGATGTTTAAAAACCATTTTGTGGAAATTGTGGAAGGTTTGGAAAAGCTTTCACAGGAAGGTAATTCTGGGACAAGAAAAGTAGCTTTCCAATTGTTATCCGCAGTTGGACAAACCACATTCATATTGTCTTTATGTATTATAGACAAATACTATTCGCTGCTGCAACCCGTCGCAAACACATTGCAGTCTAAAACCTTAGACGTAATTAAGTGTGCAGAGCACATTCAAACCATAAAAACAGCTATATTACGGAACATAGGCTTTCTGCCGAAGAAGGCACTGAAGAATTATTGAAATCAGCTAATGAAATTGCTAAGGTTTTGAATGTTGAGCTGCGTCTTCCAAGGACAGCAAGCCGCTAACAATATAGGGCAAATCATCCAGCTGGTTCGTTAAGCGAATATTTTCGCCGATCGTTGTACGTGCCCTATTTGGATTCATTATCATCCTCATTAGAGGAGAGATTCGGTAAAGAACATTCACCAGCGTTTGCTCTTTCATTGTTACACCCTGCTCAAATAATAAAAATTACAGCTCCAAAATTAAGAAAATGTATGGACGAAGTATCCAAATTTTATGAATTAGAAGGGATCACATCCGAAGCTGAACTATGGCGCACTTTTTGGGTTAACAAGCAGGAGGACTTCGAAGATTTGGAGATAACGGAATTAATCCAACAAGCAGAATGTTTTTATCTGAACGTGAAAACAGCCCTAGAAATTTTACTGGCAATGCCTTATTCCACGGCTACAATTGAAAGATCATTCAGTACACTCAGACGCGTGAAAACGTGGCTGAGATCAACAATGATTGAAGACAGGTTAAATTAAATGGACTTTGTTTGCTCAGTGTACATAAAAAACTTGTAAACAGTATGGGCGATTCTTTCACGGAAGGCGTTATAAACCGTTTTGCAGAAGATCCTCGAAAATTACTTTTAAAGTAAAAGCGAGTTTTAAAACTTTTAAAGTAAAAAAAGTTTTTGGCCTGTCATATAGTAGTTGTACTACGTGCGTACTAGTCACGTAGTTTTTAAATAAGCGAATGGTTTGCCCGGTTTAGGTGACACGGCGTCTTGCACGCAATATAGTGGGTGGATTGACTTTTATATTGTAGCTGTTTACTTGCGATACTTTTGCACATTGCTCATATATTAAAATTCATTTTGATTGAAAGTACCAAGTATTATTAACAAAGTTTGTGTTACAAAACAATGATCTTAAATATTTAAAAATGATAGGTTGGTTTGTGTACGCTTCAAGTTTCATCTATTTTTGCAACCACAATGTGCCACAGCGTGTCATGACAAGGTACAACTAGTTGAAAATATATATTTAAAATAAAATGACTAGAAAGCTGGCGCTAACCCTAGTACGAAAGAAATAACATAGGAATCGAAGAAAGATAACTTAAGAAAAAATAAGCCTTAGCTTGTAGAAAGACTTGGACTAATCAACAATCACGGTTTTGTCAAGCAATAAACGCCAGTGTTGCCTGTGCGGCTTTTGAGGTCAACTAATCGTAGTTTCCTCTGTAGTGCGATAGAATGGTTACAGGTGTGCAACCGTGAGCTGCTCGAATATAAGTGATAGACTTACACTTCCCAATCCATTTGCATGAGCAATATTCTTTTCCTTTCATTGTCTTCCCTTTGCAGCTATCTTAGCGGCAATAGTTAAGGCTATCCGGATAGTTAATATTTTAAAAGTAAATCAATGTTGCTGACTTCATCTACATTTAAACTTCCCACTTTCATAAAAATTGGAAAAAAACGAGGCTTCACCAGTGTCCTTTTGCACTTACGTTAATACTTGAACGACCCCGTTGAATGAAAAATGTACATCAAACTATTTTTTTAACACCGAAGCGAGCTAACAATATTACCCTCGACAAAAGACTCGCACGTTTGAATTTATCCACTAAGACGATAAACAGCAATATTAGTACTTAAGTAAACTTCTAAACTCACAAACATTTTTTTTCTAAGTTATTAATTTTTTAAATTCGTACTAGGGATGTAGAGGATACAAAGAATAAAGTAAATTTAAATAGGTATGCTAATAGACATCTTAAATTTCTATAAATATAATGTAGTGGTAATAATTATAAATCTATACAAATAAATAAAATTAAAGTGTATGTTTGCAATGTCAAAATAATAGGTGTTTTTATGTTAAATTTTTTGTCGTCTCTCTATTTGTTCCGGGTAATCTTCTAAACGGCTGCACCGATTTTGGTAATATTTCACTACCATTTAGGTGTCTATATAAGGTGTAACGTAGGCTATTTTTACTCTCAGAAAAACCTTTGCCCGGTACGGGAATCAAACCCACTAAGGCAGCGCTTTTCAAATTCCACGCGAACGAAGTCACGGGTACCAGCTAGTAAATAAAATAAAATTACAACCTTCCAACTACGTAAAAGACTAGTCTATAGCGACATTAAAGGATAGTTACTCTTAAACTCCAATAAACAAAATCTACGCAATGCTCTGTTCATATCTATCGTTTACAGTTTTTGCATTTTCATTCAATAACTTAAAAAGATCTTAATTAAGTTGAAATTGGTATTTGTGGGTATGACAAAAATATCAAATTTTAAATTAATGAAAATGAAGTTAATCTTTATTTAATTCAAATAAAATAAAATAATTTCCCTAGGGGTATAAAGTTATGCGTCAATCCCTACAATGGTGCTAATTCTGTTGTTCAAAAACTCTCTAAACTAAACTAAAAATCACAAAAATTGGCATTCCGAAAACGTAATACTTGATAACACTAAACTAATTTTTAGTGATTTTTAGTTTAGTTTAGAGAGTTTTCGAAGAACAGAATTAGTACCATTACCTACGTGTATAACATAAGTATGTATATTCAAAACGTTTCTGTTTACCTAAACGCATTATACATAATAGGTATATATTTTTTTCTTTAATGAAACTAGTAACCCTTGAATGTTAGGTTAATCTGCTCTTTCAAGTTGGTGAAGTAACTGACATTTTTTTAAGGATAACAATGATAGATATTTAAAAGCCCTTTTTAAGTCTTCTAACATCAGTTCAGTTAGAAGTCTCAGATCGAAGAACTAAAATATATTCACATGACGCTTTGTACGGAGGGACCGTCGCTATATTCCTATATTTCTTGCCATAATCTTCCCTCACAAGCTGTAAGTTTACATTGAGACCTGTTTTAGTTGTTTTAAAATCGGAAAAAAATTAGGAAAGGCATATTTTAAACATAAACTGTTAAAAATTTAATCGATAATAATAGAGGGCAAGTAGTTGAAATTCTTATCTGGTATTGGTGCTAACATACGTCCAAACTAGACTCGGCGGATCAAGTCTCTGGTATGGCAAAAGTTGACTGTTTAGAGACAAAAGCTTAGAGCTGCCCACTGTCTAGTCCGGTAGCTACAGGTATGACCGTCTTTTCCTCATTGGTCTATTAATTATTATATTCTCACGTTCCTCTATTTTGATTAAAGTTTAGATATATTATTATAAAATATGAATGTTAACAACATTTACAAGATTTTATAGCATATTCTTAACAGAGATAATTTTGCTGTTATCTTGCGATTTTTAAATTCATTACACCAGTATAGCGGTTGCGTTGCGATAAAATATACACGGTTGTTACTTATTTACATTACAGTCTGAACAAATTACTTATAAAAAAAATATTTTCACTTTTATTATTCACGAAACTGCTTATAGCTTAGCGACCTATGTTAATTACATTTAACTAATGGACATAACCAAATCTTCTGATTTGATTTCGAATGAATTACACTATACATAAAATCACACAAATTTATCTAATAAATGTTTTTTCTTACGATTTTAAATATACATATACTCCACATAAGTTTTATATCTTTGTATGATGTTACAATCTAATAATGTCATGTCATATTTCAAGAAGTTTTATTTTATATTGCACATAAATCTTAGTGTCATATTTGTAAATTTCAAGAAGCATTGAGTATTATTACTAGAATATGACACCACACATTGCACAGTTCATCTGGTGATACAAAATTATAACATACCTGTATGAAAATGCGTTAAAAGACTCCTGTGTACTTACTGGGTAGGTAATAGGTTTTTTAAGATTGTAGAACGCTGACATTTTTGACAGCTCCTATTATGTATTAGAAGGTGTCCACATAAAATCACGCAATTTGAGCAAGTATTTAGGAAATATTTCTCGACATCAGAGTCACTCCTTATATTTTACATTTGTTTGAAAGTTATTACATGTTTACTATCATATTTTCTCAAGGAACATTTCTCTGGCATCGAGAAAAACGTATATATACATTATTACAAAAAAAGATCATAAAAATACTAAACTATACTGTCTGGGATGACGATTTACATTAAACTATTCAGTTATATAAACTACACAAGGATCAATAGAATCTATTCAAGCATAGTTAAAAAGGTAATTTGCAAAATGTGTGACTATTGGTGGGAATATTACTACATCTATAGTTTCTATTAATTAAGATTTTAAACTAGGACTAGAAGCGTGAAGACAGACAGTCTTAGGAAAATATAATTAGTCTCTGTATTGAGACAACAGAGGCCACTACAAATATGTAAATGCTGAAGGCATTGTTGGTATATCAAAAACATACTACATATTATTCATAATCATAATTCAGAAATCAACAGCTGCAAGAAAATTGTATGTACCTACTTGTAGAATAGTTTTAAGCTTGTATTGAATTAGTGAGAATACTTTTAGTAGTCTATTACATACTAAATGCAACATCAAAACATGTACCATTTCTCTGAAGAATTATCTTTCAAATTTCTTTAAAAATAAATAGTATGTTGTTGTTACCGTTTCTTTAAATACGTATATTGTATACGTGTATTACGTGAATATTGCACCTTATTCTATGATGAGGCATCTTGGTAAGTGTTCATGGAGATAGTCGAAAAGTTCCGGTGACGCACCTGGACAGTTCGTTAGTTCTAGTTCACGTAATTGTCTTAGTTGTATGAGACTGGATAATCCACCCGAAGTTAACAATGGACAACCTAGAAAAAAATAATTAGTCACTGTAATGAAGCTACCCCGTAAGTCGAAACCTGATATTTTTATAACGGCGCATCCTAGTCTGACACCTTAACTATACACTCTGATTCCTTACCTAACTCTGAATTATCAGAAGTTTGTCTTTAGAATGATTAAGAATTGCGTGGTAAAGTATGAATCTGATTTGTCATCAAATATAAAAAATGAAGTGATACAGTGGATTAAGAAAAATTGTGGCAAAAAATCATAAAGGACAATGGCAGGCATGTATGGGTAGGGATTATTGTCGTATTAATTTGGCTGGTAATTTCATCAAAAATTACAGTTTTAATTACAGATTTTTAGAACCTTGCGTTCAAAAGTTATTTTTGTTTGTAGTTTGCAAATAAGCTGTATTGAAGTCGATGCCAATAACAGCTGGCTGTCACAAATGAGTCGTCATTGCTGTCAATAAGGTAACCGTTAATCGTTCATTTACGATTTTCTTGATCTATCAATAAAATGTTGCGCTGTCAAATCAGTTTAATTAGGAACTTTTTTACATAATGTTCACGATTAATGTAATTGATTCGAATAAAAGTTATTAGTTACCTTTCCTTAAACTACAATTAATTTAAGGAATGGTACTAATCTCTGTAATAATGCTCTGCTCCAAGCCATGACAAGATCTGAAACGTTCCAGTCAAAACTGGAAAACCGATTCGCTGCCGTGGAAACCACAACCGACGTAAACCAGAACCTAGAAAATGTGGTTCGGATCCTCAGGGAAAAAGGTACGAGATTTTGTGGAATGCAGCGTAAGGGCAGGAAGTCGAAGCTTTCAGAAAGGACCTTAGGGCTGATGAAGAAACGCCGTGGAAACCCACCTGCCACTTTGTCGGCAAAGCGGACTCTAAACCGAGAGATCAGTAAACTCGTACGAGTGACCTCCGCTACTCCAATACTCTTACAACTGTAGGAGCGATCGAGCAGAATGGGGAGTCAAAAGTGTTCGTACAATCTCTTGGAAGAAGCCACCTGACAAAGTTGACCACAGAAAGTGGAGAAGTCTTTGCTTCGAAGCCGGCAGTCCTTTTGGAAGTGGAAAGCTTCTATGGCCGGTTATACGCTTGCATCTCGACCTGATCCCGAAAATGAGGACTCTAGAGCCACATTAACACGTCACTACACCGAAGATCTGCCAGAAGTTAGCATTGACGAAATCGAGATGGCTCTTGGACAGCTGAAAAATGGAAAAGCCCCTGGAGACGATGGCGTTACAACAAAACTGCTAAAGGCAGGGGGTAAACCAGTACTAAGGGAGCTCCAAAAGCGCTTCAAACGCTGTCCTGTTTGAAGGGAGAACTCCGGAAGCGTGGAGTAGGAGTGTGGTCGTCTTATTCTTTAAAAAGGGTGACAAGATCATGTTGAAGAACTATCGACCCACATCCCTTCTAAGCCACGTCTACAAGCTGTTTTCGAGAGTCATCACGAACCGTCTTGCGCAAAGACTCGACGACTTCCAAGCCACCGGAGCAAGCTGGGTTTCGGATGGGATATGGCGCCATAGACCACATCCACAATGTGCGGCAGATTATACAGAAGACCGAAGAATATAATCAGCCCCTGTGTCTAGCATTCGTGGACTATGAGAAAGCCTTTGACTCGATCGAGATCTGGTCTGTTCTGGAGTCCCTGCAACGTTGCCAAGTAGATTGGCGATACATCCAAGTGATGAAATGTCTCTACGATGCCGCCACCATGTCCGTCCAAGTATAGAATCAGCAAACAAGGCCATTGCAACGAGGAGTGAGACAAGGGGACTTTATTTTCCCGAAATTGTTCACAAATGCAATGGAGGACATGTTCAAGACGCTGAATTGGAAAGGGCGTAGCATCAATATCAATGGCGAATACATCTCTCACTTGCGAATTGCAGACGACATCGTCATCATGGCAGAGACGTTGCAGGACCTACAGCAGATGCTGAATTACCTAGCTGACTCTTCTGTACGCATCGGCCTACGGATGAACTCGGATAAAACCAAGGTCATGTTCAACGAACAGGATCAGCAAGCTGGAGTGGCAGTGGGCTGGCCATATTAGCCGCAGAATCGACAACCGTTGGGGAAAACGAGTTCTTGAGTAGAGACCGCGTCTCGGCAAACGTAGTGTAGGACGCTCACAGGCCAGGTGGAGCGACGGTTTGCGCATGATGGCTGGCAGGAGCTGGATGCGAGAGACCCAAAATCGATCTAAGTGGCGTGCAATGGGGGAGGCCTATGTCCAGCAGTGGACTGCGATAGGCTGATGATGATGATGATGACTAACAACTTTTCCTATTAAAAAAAAAACATTTCTTTATTACTTCGTATAATCTGCACAGTCAACATTATTAATAAATAAATGTTTGTTTTTAACTGATACATACACTAGTGAGCTCATTCATTAATCTCGATCTCTTTTTTTATGTAATTTATATTTTAATCATAGCAAGTTTAGAAGACGTAGGAATGCGTTTTCTTAACAAAACTTGAATGTTTAGTTATTGCGGTTGTAACAATTCTTTGAGAAGAATTTATGAACTTATAGCAAAGTTCTAAAAATATAATAATTACTTGAAAAAGTTAGGATGTCTCAACTTATAAACGGTACAAATCTCATAACCACATCTGCCGTTCTCCTTTTACAGTAACAATTTCATTTATCTGATAGTACAATCCATTAGTTTTAGTGATTTCTTATGCTAAGTTAGTTACATAATAAATTGCTCCAGATTCCTTGTTTATACCAAAATATACATTAGTAAAACTCATTTGCTTTGGAATGCACTATCATGTAATCTTACTTTCCAGTTTATAGGAATTCTTATGTGACAATAAATGTATGTTAATTCTACAACTTACCAGCTAACGACAGAAGTTGAAGTGAACGCATGCCGCACAGATGTTGGACACCAAAGTCTCGTACTTGAGAGCACCAACGCAGGAACAGCGCCACAAGAGACTGCATGGTACTAATGTATCCCACGCCAATATCTGTTATGTGCACACATCTGTAACAAAATCAGACATAACCACAGGCGACGAATAGTACACCTATATGTTTAAATTTTAAGATCTGCCTTAACTAATTCAAGAGAAATATCTAATGAACTACGATAAAAATATTATATGCATTAAGTTCTAATCTAGTTATTTATTAGTTTGTCGGTGTAAGAAATTTTATGCAACATACAACACATGTAGATACTATAAATATGTCTCTATCTAATATACAGGGTGTCCCAGAAAGAATGGATAATCCTGGAGCGCTTAATAGTACAGTTATCTGGCGTACAAAAAAAATACCCAAAAAAAAACAATTGGTGCCCAAATTATGAAGTTTTAAAAAAAAAATACTTTTTTGTTGTCCTTACTGTACTTACATGTACACCGCGGCCGCAAATTAATGAAATTTGTAACGTTTTTGGCGTTATCTTATTCCTCACAGACAATCTTATTAGAAATGCAGTAAATAGTATGAGTTAAAGTGAGGTCATTTTAATAGGTAACATTTGACGTCTGTCAGTTTTATCTTCATAGTGAGGTGACCAGCTTAAAGTCCGTATCGATTCAAGTGAATGAATCGATACGGACTTGAAACATATGTGAATTTAAAAAATCATCAGACGAATCCCTGTCCCATTATTATTTTTTCTTTCGGAAATTTAAAGAGCAAAATAAGACAAGTACATTATTTAACAAAAATATTGCATTTATTCAGTTGAACTATCAGAACTGTTATTAGTATTGTCATCTTCATCACTACTGTCAGCACTCAGAGATATCATTAATTCATTTTCAATAATATTGTCTATTCTCACATCTCGTTCAAAATCTTGTAAAATTATTTTCTTTGTTTTCTTTGTTTTGTTAAGAAGTCGTGCGTAGCGCCGTTCAGTTATTTTTGAAGCAGCCTCCCGAACACGACTGCGTAATTCCTTCAAACTTGAAATGGGTCACAATTTAAGTTGATATTTTTTTTTTTAAAAAATGTACAATAGTTACTCATACTATTTACTGCATTTCTAATAAGATTGTCTGTGAGGAATAAGGTAACGCCAAAAACGCAACAAATTTCATTAATTTGCGGCCGTGGTGTACATGTAAGTACAGTAAGGACAACAAAAAAGTATTCTTTTTAAAAACTTCGTAATTTGGGCACCATTTGTTTTTTTTTGGGTACTTTTTTTGTACGCCAGATAGCTGTACTATTAAGCGCTCCAGGATTATCCAGTCTTTCTGAGACACCCTGTATACGTTGCTGTCTTTTTTAACATGTAAAATTGACGAAAATAAAAACATATTACAATATACACGTGCTGTTTTTTACACCTTGCCAGGTAGGGTGACCATAGTTTTCTTGACTCTCCTTCCGATGACGACGCTCGTTCGTTGCCAGTGGGTTTTAAGAGTGTTCATAAGGCATCACATTATGGTGAACTCTGTGCTATTTGCTAAGTATGGAAAATTTAAAATTAACATAGGAAATTTGTCACAAACCTGTCAAGTGTAAGTTCCTCGAGGTGGTTGAGATCGCAGGCAATATACTCAAGAGCATTATCCGTAACACGAGGACACCAACTTAAATCGAGGCTTCGCAAACGTGGGAGATTTTCTGCCAACAGTTCGACCCCTTCATCCGTCACCTTGCTGCATCCGCTTAGTGATAACACCGTCAAGTTCGGCAACGAGTGAACTATATATACAGTAGACATTTAGTTACACAGTTAAAAATTTAAAACTGAATTCAAGTAACAATCTATTGTACCTATACGTCAGTTCTTAACATTTCTAATTCAAATTCAAATTATATATTTGCTATAAATGGGGTGGTACATGTTGTGGTTTTAAAGGTTTAATATAGTGCGAACAGGCCCATTTAACCATGAAGATAGCATGCAAATTTAACAATTTTTTTTTTTAACTTATGTATTAGATATATTATTATCATCATCATTATTCATCAGTTTTTGTGTATTAATTATAATTTCACTTTTATTAACACCAAGTGATTGTAAATTTAGCCATGATTTACTACTCAAATACACTTTCTCAGATACAAAAGTATGTACTTTCTTATATTATTATTAACGCGTTCCTACGTTTAACGGCAAATCTACACAAATAAATAAAAATTGAAGTGTCTGTTTGTAATGTCAAAGTAATAGGTTTTTTCATGCTTACACGGTTATTTACACGATACCTATGCCTAAAAAAAAATATAGTTTTAAAAAACTAAAAAACACGCTTTCTATAGAAAACCAAACTAAAAAATAGAAAATAAATTTGAAAAAAAGCGTTGGGTGCCTGTTGTCAATAGTAAAAAGTTGTGTATGTTTTTCAGTTTTTTAAAACTATAATTATTATTTTTTTAAATTAGTGTGTTGTCATCGGTCCTCGATATATCTACAAAGTTTGAACGAATTCTGACCGTTTAAAGTCAGTCAAAATCACGCCCAAAGGAGTCGGTTACAAACATACAAGTGAAGCTAATATAAAGCGTGTAAAAACCAGTTTAAATGTTTTTTGTCTGTGTGCCTTTTTGTGCCAGGTAATCTTCAAAAAGGCTTGACCGATTTTGATAATATTTTACTACCAGGAAGCTGTCTATAAAGGAGGAAGGAAGATAAGGAGTAACTTAGGCTTATCTTTCCTTTCAGAAAAACCCTATAAATTATGCCCGGTTCGGGAATCGAACCCTAGGCCTCATGGACTGCAGTCGCGTACCGTACTACTAAGGCTGTTCAAATTCCACGCGAACGAAGTCGCAACGAAGTACTAGTTAGTTTAAAATAAAGTTTAGTCATTCTTTTCTGTTTATATATAATAAAACAGAAGCAGTAGTTTGTAGCATTGATGAAGCGCATACATTTATGATTACGTATTTTTGTAATGTGTGATGTGACACACACCCTGCGGCCTGCACGTCTTAAATTATCGCTTGCTGCAGCAATTCATTTAACATAAAAAATAGTACAGTGTTTTCAAACTCTACACAGCAAGTAGGTATGTATCTTCGTACTCTCTTAACCTCAATAAGACGGGAGCAGACAAGATCAAAGATGTCCATATACACATTTTTTAAACCATCGAGACTGAAAAAAGATCATAGTGAGCTACTTAAACTATTTTGTATAATAAATCCGGCGCAAACTATTTGAGCCCAGAAGGCCAATTCGCGTAGTAAAAATTGGGTCACAATTCAGTTTCGATCTACTCTTTGTACAACTCTCTCTCACAAATATCATAAAAGGTATTTTCATAGTAAAATATTAATCATCCAACGTTGACTGTAATGTGATTATATCGTATTGTGACCGAAAGTTGAATCGGTAATCTGTTACTTTCCTCCTCTGTTCCTGCCGAGTTCGTATAACGAGAATTAGCCTTCATAATTGAGTGTTTTCCATGAGAATATTAGATATTGATATTGACAAATGCTCCATACCTATATTGACAACACCGTGATTAGTCAGCTCCCAACAACTGTGAAGACGTAATACGCTAAGTGAAGCACTTTGTTTGGGAGAAAAGTACCCCAAAGCAGCGTCGGTTACGTGATACGCTTGCAATGAGAACTCATATAGGGATGGTAGAAGCTGAGCTACTGCTCCAACCTGTAAGAAAAAATATCGTTTAAGAATATATCACTTTACAGGATTAATTAAATATAAAAAAATCGGTCCTCTGAAACAATTTGGCAATTGAAAAAGTAGTGTGGTTTAAAGTTAACTAGGAGCAGTTAAGGACTCTACCGGTCCGCCGGGCCTGGAAACGAAACATAGACTTAGACCAAGTTGTGTGTGTCAACTAGTTCTTTCTATTTCTACAAAGATTTTAGTATATTACATGTTTCGTATTTATTACTTGACTCTTTTCTACCTTTCTTTTTTTGTTTGTTTTTTTTTATTATTACTACATTACCGACCAGCTCATTCAATTAAATATATGAACAAATTCCTTTAATTTTTAGATAAAATTATATACAGTTGAATAAAATACAAATCAAATATAACCACAAGTTCTGTGTCTAAAGCAAAAGAGAAAAAAGTGGTGTAAATTCACAATCAATTTTAAGAGTATGGAATCTGAATGAAATATATAGGTAATAACATACAGAACTTTATTTTACCAAATTGCAATATTAGCATTAGGGCTTCTGAAGATTATTATTTGCCACTAACTAGCATTGAAAAAAAAGTGGACACTGTGCATTTTAAGTGATTGACCCATTTTGTGAAATGCAATACTTTTCAAATCATAAAAATTGCCCACAGAAACTAACAGGCAAGCAAAGAATGTTTGATTACATAAAGTCTCATCTACAACATCCCAGATGATAAATCATGTTCAATAAAGCAGTTTTATCCAGCATAATCATGTAACTGTTTTTCAAAATAAATATTTATGAATAATAATATCATCATCATCAACAGCCTTTACTAGTCCACTGCTGGACATAGGCCTCTCCTTAGAAAGGAGGTTTAGGCCTACTATACCACGCTGGCCACACAAGTTACACAAGTTTTCCTTCTCTTTGCAGTGCTGTTGTCCTGCGTTTTTCGATCCCTTAGTCGGCTCTTACAACACAGGATGAATAGGGGTGGTAACACTTTGTATTCTTAATCTGTCACCATACGGACAATATGAATAATAATATGAGTACTTTTAAAAGTATTATTATAATTTATATATTACTATCTGTATCCTGCTATGCTTCAGTGTGATACATTGTGGTTGCATTACATTATGAGAAATGAGGAACAAAACTGAAGTGAAAATAGATAAAAACAATCTTTAAAGGAGGTTGTCTATTGTATCAAAATTTGAGCTCAATAATTGGTGCAGTACTTTTTAGTTTTTCAAGCATACACAAACCAACTTAACATTTTAATACAAATAAATTATTTTTATTTGATAAAAGTACTTACAGCCTCATCAGCAATATTAATGCAGTCAGTAAGAGTGAGTGAGACAATTCGTGGAGTTAGACATGCCCACAATCCAGCCTCTGTTATTTCATTGCATCCTGTTAGTTCTAGCTCAAAGAGAACCTAAAATAGATTTAGAATGATCACTTGTTACTTCTAATAAATTGATTAGAAATTATTAAAATCAAAATAGTTTCTGGCCACAAATATCCATTTATGGTTCAATATTAAATTCATGCATTATAAGTTTTGTAATGTATATAAAGTTAAAACCAGAACTTACCTGCAAATGATCTAGTACTGCCTCCAAACCTCTATCTGTTATTGTACATCCTTTTAAACTAATGGCATGAATATGATGTGCTGACAGAGAAAATTGTCTAATAAATTCATTTATGTCATCATCAGAAGCTGATACTAATACCACTCCACGTATTCCTCTTCTAATTAAAGAATTGTAAAACCGTTGCATACAGCACCCTGTAGTAGACCGAAGTTCACGGCAGTCCAGAACAGCTGCAAGACCACTCCACCAGCGAGGTGAAGAGTACAATATATCACGCCATCTGGTACAAACTTGTGCTAACGTCCTTCTATCATTTGCATTAAAATAGAGAAAAAACTTCTCTAGAAACTTCTCCTCTAGTATAAATTGGTTCCATGACAAAGGTCTCGGAGAAGGTCTGCGACGACGTGGTACTCTTGGTGCTGCAGTGGCCGTAGTAGGGCCACAAAGCGCATTCGTCACACGTTCAACCACGCCAGGGGAACGCTTGCGACCCCTAAGACCTAGACCGGTGATACGACGTGAAAGTTCTGCAGAGGCACGCTCCACGACACCTTGAGCAGAAACTGAAGACATCTTGACCTTGACACGGCGAATGGTATCCGCCGGTCGGCCGCCACCCGAGCCTCCGCCGCCCGCACCGTGCTCACAGCCCGCCACGGCGCTACTGTGAACATAATTAAATTCCTTTGTCAGTAAAAATGATACTAGTCACTTTAATAATGGTCTTACCATTGACTCAAATGAAGCAACGGTTGCTTTAAATGGGAGAAATGTTTATTAGTGTGAGCGCTAAATCTTTGGTGATATGGCATGATATTCATCATCATCATCAACAGCCTTTAACAGTCCACTGCTGGACATAGGCCTCTCCTTAAAAAGGAGGTTTTGGCATGATATTGCAAAGGAAAATTTTATGGGCTATTTATATATTAAAAGAGACACAGAAATAATTACTATTGAATAACAATAAAGGGGTTCACATAAACCAATTACGGATCTCCTGAAATTTTAATTTTCATTAAGAATAACTATCAAATAAAAATAAATAAAAAAATCGATGCGCTCTAAATATTACCTTTATATTTGTTTCTGCCAAATGAAACACCATCATAGACAATGAATATTACTGATTTTTATTAGAATATTGAGATCATACATTCAGATTATGAGATTTACTTGCAAGTTGCTACTGTAGCTTAGATTTATGTACAAAAATCTTTAGAAAATAATGTATATGCTCTCTGTAACCTCCGTCCGACAGCTACTTAGTAATCGCCAGTGCTGCCAACAGTTAAATTAACTCTCAGCAGAAAGCCAATTCTCGTAATAAAAGTTCGGACTCAGCTCAGTTCCGATCAACATTCGATCTAGGTATTGTCGTAGTAAAGTATTAAATGTTGAATCGAACGTTGAATGTAATGATTTGGAGTAATTCGCTAAAAATCTTAATTGTTGCCTAATTGCCATGGAATGATTTTTTTTCTGAACAAATGCCAGCTTTATTGGTCATTACTTAGAAGATCAAAAACATAACTTTTTAATGCAGAAGGGAATTACCTAAGTGGTGCCAAAAAAGTTATAAGCTCCGAAATTTTTAGTCACACAAGGAAATTATATTTCTATGGCAAGGAGATTAGGAATATGTCGTGGAAATTAGAAAAATGCCATTTCTAGGATGCATGTAATCAAAAACAAAAAAGAAACAACATAATCAAAATGGTTCACATTATAAAAATCTACACAGAAATGACACAAACAATTTAAAATATATTTTATAATTAAAGGCTTATTTCTTGTTTCTAAACACTATACTTATGAATAAAACTTCACTAATGAAACAAAAATAACCAATTTGGTTTACTTAACCAAGCCATAAACTTTGTAAGTAATAAAAACAAGATCAATAAATAAATAGACAAACAGTATCTTCTGAAAATAATTGGTACATAAGTTGAATCAACATTTAAATCCTTTACAGGACCTGCTTAAGTCACCGTCTCTCATCATCAGTCATCTCTCAGCAAAATCTCACCATCGTGTTTTAGGTTCCTTAAAGATAGGAGGTAGGTTCCTTAAAGACTTTTTATAGAACTGATAGTAATTAAATCAATATCGCCATGATTCGGCCAACTGTACAGTAAACCATCCACCACCATGATTTAAAAAATAACATGACAATCACTCATTCTAATATCAACCATCGAAGCAACACACTTTTCAAAACGCTTGTTAATTTTAAGCTCCACCAGAACCCAAGACCTAGTTTCGCCTGCATCCAACGGCTTCCTGCGACCTTTACCAGGTCCTCGGATCATCTACCCACGCTGTGTTCCGTCACGTGGTAGCCACTCCAGAACTTGTCTGGCTCGGCTCCATCGGCCGTCTTTTCTTCGAAAAATGTGCACCGCCCACTACCACTTAAGTTTGACAATTCGCCGGGCAATGCCAGTGACCTTAAGTTGTGTGACCGCAGAATAACTCCGAGTTGCCCTCTCTCTTGCTCTTTGGGTGACTTTGAGCCTCCTTATAACTCCCATTGTGAGCGACCACGTCTCTGTGCCATAAGTTATCAATATTCGACTATTGATCTCTTTTTTAAATTTGGAGTTACCTAGCTAGATAGTCTGTCCTAGGTATACGTAATCCTCAACAACTTCGAGCGTGGAGTCCAATTTCCCCTAAAGTGAGTGCGTCATGGAAGTTCGAAATAATTTTAGTCTAAGGCCATCGATTGTCCGTGTGGTGACCACCCCTATTCGTCCCGTGGGTGTCGTAAAAACCGACTAAGGGCACAAAACAACGCAGGTCAACAACACAGCAAAGAGAAAGAAAACTTGACACAAACCCTATACCAACTCGTCTGGCGAGTGTGATATAGTAAGCCAAAACCTCCTTTCTAAGGAGAGGCCTATGTCCAGCAGTGGACTGTTAAAGGCTGTTGATGTTGATGAAGGCCATCGAGCTTTGTGCAAAGGTATTTCATATTTTCAGCCATGACTACTATATCATCAGCAAATCGAAGGTGAGTGATATACTCACCATTAATGTTGATGATAAATCTATTCCAGTCCAGAAGCCTCCAGTGCCGTGGAGAACAGTTTCGGAGATATTACGTGTCCCTGCTTCACTCCTCTCTGAAGTTGAAGAGGTTTCGAGCTCTGAACCCAATATTGCCTACTTAGAATTTTCCGCGGTCCCTTCTGGGACATCACAAAGATGTCGGTCCGTTCTAATGTAATGGGTTGTGATGACGTAAGCCGTATTATGATAATAACCATCTTGGATTACGTCCTCTAAATTATAACCAACATTATTAACTTCTCTCTCAGTTACAGTGGATAATCCACTAGGCTGACTACACTGAAAATCACTATTTTACTGAGCTGAACAACCGAATCGTTACAATTGGTATCACCGATTCTAAGAATTAGTAAAAATACTAGATCACCTTTTTTATATTTTATTCTTTCTTCTCTTTCCTCTCCCACATTCCCTTACTATCTTATACACAGAGATATCTTTCAATTAGTGGGAAATATTGAGTATTATTTTTCTATTTCTAGATCTCAAACTAAAACTGTTTGAAAGTGATGATAGGTTGTTTTTCATTTATTAGGTAGAACAACAACCAATCTGTTGAACAATTTATCGTCTGCAGTATTGCCGGACCAATACGACCGTCGAACCTTGAAGAAAAGAGCGTACCTTCCTAAAAGGCCGGCAACGCGTTTGTGACTCCTAAATTGCAGACGTTCATGGGCGGCGATAGTTACTTTCCATCAGGTGACCTGTCTGCTAGTCTGCCCCCTCTAACAAAAGATCTATTTCTTAGCGATCCATGGATTCACCGTGCGGGTGCCGGGTCCATCGCGTGATAGACGCGTCAGCGCTAACCTCCACTGTCTGCCGTGTCACCCCCTCTACCTAACCATATTTGATACGAGCCTAGCAATGCCGCTTTGGATATTCGATCAAGAAAAGAGCTTACTGAACCTCTTGGTAATCCAAGGTCTTTAAGCAGGGTATAGAGGGATTTAGCTGGTAGTTACCCCTCGCACCCACTTCTACGGATTACAAAGCAACGACATAACCGTTTTATTCTAGCCCCAGTACAACGTTGACGGGTCTCTAGATGGTGCTAGCCCGAGCCACGACTTTAATGTCTTAGTGACTTTCGCGTCCAATGTTCTTAAATGATTTTGGTTTATATCGTATATCAGAAACGGCCAGTTGAGACGTGATGTTAAGTTGTTGTGGTAAATCCAAGCTTTTTTAAATTCATTATTGGCTGTTGGTCCACCTTGTTAATGTCTTTTACGAAGTCATCGACTATTGTATAATTAAAAAAATTTGAAAAATTTTGAATTACGTTAAAACATTTTCCTGGTCGACCTCAGGAATCTCGTGTTACTTTAGTACTTTAGCACAAGCTTTTGCTAGTTGATAGGATAGTTATGGTCTAGGACAGAAAAAAATACGTTTTAACAAAACCTATTCCATAACATAAACAGACTTTTGTCTGTTTATGTTATGAAGAAAGAGTTATGACGATTTTTGTTTATTTATTTTTTTGTCTCAACTTACGCTGTATGAGATAATTTTTTAAGAAGTATTTCAACAAAATAGATCTCACTCACAGAAAGAAAACAAAAGCAAAAACTACTAATTCTGTTAAGCAGAGCTTTCTTAAAAAGAAGGTAAAATTTAAAGATGAAAAATGTAACTAAATTCATATCTATCCCTGTTTAGGTAAACGTATTTTATCTGAGGAGGTTTTTCTATATCTCTACATGCCATAAAATAAAGTCACTCACCGTTCTTGTACGCTTAGATTTCTGAAACTACGCAACAGATTTTAATAATATTTTCATCAATAGAGAGTGTAATTCAAGATGAAAGTTTAAATGTTTAAAACATGCATATTATAGTAGAGGATATCCAAGAATTTCAAATATTTGAAATGTAATATCGTATAAAACATATTCTTGTGCGCTTACCTTGTAAGCGCTGGCTTTACCTTACGAGATAGATCAAAATAATGTGCAACGGAATTGTATATCTTAAGATAAAGATCTACTAAAAAGTCGGCGACGGTATTTATCTATCCTAGAGGTAAACCACAGTACCCATTTCTATCTTTTATATATTACCAGTATTATTCAGTTTCCGTGTGGTGTCGGATTACGAAGTCGTGGTGAGACTTCATAATCCGACACCACACGGAAACTGAATAATATTTTAATATTTACCCTATTCATATCGTGGGTACGCGTGAGCCGACTAAGGAAGCAAAATACACAGAACAACAGCACTCCAAAGAGAAGGAAAACTTGACACAAACCTTACACCGAGCCGTCTGGCCAGCGTGGTATAGTAGGCTAGAACCTCCTTTCTAAGGAGAGGCTTATGTCCAGCAGTGGATCATTAAACGCTGTTGATGAATCAAATATTCCAAAAAGATAATAAAAACATTTACAAAGCTATTTTAACAAAATAGAGTTATTCCAATTCCAAATCCAATTAAATACGTTAGATACGTTGTGCATTTAATGTAGATCAAATTAACCTTCACAGCATAACATTAAAATGAAAATAGGAGTAAGACTATGAGCTATATAACTTTACGCTGCGACCAATAGAGGCGTGTCAGCTAGTACAATTGTAATTTTATTGTTTTTAGGGTACGATCAAAAGGATAATTTTTCTACAATAAAAATAGTGAGATCTTACCTTTGCCTAAATAGTTATCATTATTTTGTTGTGACTGCGAGTATCCCTATCTGTAACTGTGATTTTATACATGTTACGTTTTTCATGTGATTGCATACAACTAATGTCTTCCTTTGTGATGTGTGAAAAGTCGTACATTGTTCAATATTATTGCCAGTATTTTGTTTGACCTGTAGTATATTTAGTATTGGCAATACTGTACCTGTGTTTTGAGTTGCTACTTGCTTTGCTTGTAAAACCGTAAAATAACCGGGTTAATGTCTTAACCTCAAATATTTAAACGTATTGTCAATAAATGTGTATAAACAAAGTCTAAGCAAAGGTACAATTCATGTGCAGCAACAGTTATTAAAGTTTTTATTATTTAATTAAATACTGTACAATGGATTTCTTAGAAGCTATGCCAGTTACTTTTAAAGAAATAATACCTAATTATAATGTACCTGAAAAATGGAAAGAAGTGACATTAAACACAGGTTTGTACAGTTTCGTTGATATTACTTTACAAATTGATTCAAATTATCATGTCATTACGAATTTTTAGGGGGCACTCACAGTACTTTACAGGACATAAAATTACCGCAAAAGGCTGGAGGATACTGGTACAAAGATTCAACAAAAGTATACACTCGAAACCGCTTCATTTATTGGTGAGCTCTATTGGTTATTAAAATTAGATTATTGGAAACCAATTCTATTAACACATAATGTTTCTTTTTTTAAATTTGTATATTTTATTGCCTTTTTGTATGTTCCAACTTTTGGTGTCATAACTATTTACCTGCTTTTGATCTAGTATTTACAACTAATTACAGGCAAACAACTTCAGATGCTATTGAACTTTCTGAAGCATCATTAGATATAAACTTGTCATTAGCTAATCTGAGATGTAAAGTTGCACCTGGGACGCCACCATTGAGCAGTATAACTGTATATGAGAGAAGCGCATTTAGAGATGTGGTTATACTAGCTGCCACAGTTTCTTCAGTACACAGATTGATATTCCCACATCCCGGAACATTAGATAAAAAGGTCTGTATTTTTTTATTAAACAGAATAATATTGTCTTAGTACCTATCAACTACTGAACTCTAAATACCTATAAATCTTATACAATATCTATAATAAATTCAACAACACATTATTTGTATAGTAATTTTTATGTCTCATTGTTTCTGTTTATATAATCTGTGTATATTCTTTTATTATTGAGAGATACTTGTATAACTATTTATTTATTCTAAAATTTGTCTGCCATACATAAAAGTAATTTACATGAGTAATTTTTTAAAGAAAGAACATATTCTAAAATATTCTTTTAATGTTTTTCTGCAGTCAACATTTGGACCTCTAAGCAGTTCATCTCCATCAATATTTCATGATACAAGTGCTATAAATAATCCAAACAATTACTATATTCTTAATCAATATTCTAATGCAAGTGAGTATCCAAGTTCATATTATATTACAACATTGATCTTCATTTTTATTTTGAGTTTTTAATGAGATTTTATTTAATCAATAGATCTGTAATAGATGTAAAGCAGTTTCTAGATTATTGAGATCTTTTTAACTTTAAATTTGGTGAAGTCTAAGTATTGTCTTCCATCAAATATGTTATTCAAACTGCTGCAGCTGCAGGGGTTGCTCACACCTGTTCAACACTCCTGCGCGACAACGGTGAGGCAGTATTTGCACTTGCCTTTGGTCATGGTGGCGAAGGGGGCTTATTAATTGTTAAACTCCCCGTAGCTGGCTCTGCCTTCACCACTTTGTTGAAACGAGAGTCCACAGTCCCCAGGTTTTTGTCTGGTCTTACAGGGGCATTGAGGTAAGAACTACAAGAATTGACTTACTACAGTGGCATTCTTCTTGCAGAATGTTTTTGTGGAAGATCCTTTTTTTTGTACTTATGTTCATAGAGGAAAGAGCAGCACAGATGGGGTTGAAACATATGGGGTGGTGTTAACCAATGGATTGGTAGTGGCAATATGTGGCGACACATGTTTGCGTGCTTGGCAATTAGACGAAGGTGGAGCTCCGATCGCAGTCTCGTCTCCACTGTCTCAAACCTTAGTCAGACCAAAACCCCCACGTGAGTTGAAAACCATAATTTAATTGTTTTTTAATAAAATTGAACAGTAGTAGTGTATTTTTAATAATTATTAGGATTAGATAGAAATAACAATACTTATTGCATCTTAGAATAATACCTATATTTTAATAAACAAGGTTTAGAGTTATGGTTAATCCATACTAAAGTACTATGATATGAATGATTATACTGTATTCTGGTTTTTTCAGCTTTTCTTTGCTTTCATGGAATTGGATTGTTCATAAATGGACCTGAAGACAAAATTCGATAATGATAATACATGTTCATTTTGTGTGTGATATTCATTGTAACATATTAAAAAAAAACTACTTACTGGTTATTTTGTGAAAGAAAGTGTTAGGTATAGGAGTTGAAGGGTACAAGAGAAGAGAAAGACCAAATAAAAGGTGGATGGACTGTGTGAGTGAGGATATGGCTAGGACTAAGGACTGGACTGAGGATAAGACTAATGATAGAGAAGAATCTAAGAATCATAGTTACTGCACCAACCCCAAATAAATTGGGATAAGGGTAGGCAGATCATCTGCCTACCCTTTTCCCAATTTTATTTGGGGTCGGCGCAGTATGTATGAATTTTCCATTCTACTCTGTCATGCGTCATCTCACTGTTTACTCCCTTAATAGCCATATCCTCCCTGACGCAGTCCATCTACCTCTTCTTCGGTCTGCCTCTTCTCTTGTACCCTTCTACTCTCATACCTAAAACTTTCTTCGCCACATTTTCCTCATCCCTCCGCATGACATGTCCATACCAAGATAACCTATTACTTCTTAACTTTTCATCCAGTGGCGCTACTTTCAGACTCCCTCGTATATACTCATTCCTAACCTTGTCCATCTGAGTCACACCACACATCCATCTCAGCATTCGCATTTCGGCTACATTCAGGCGTCTCTCATCCGTTCTCTTAATGGGCCAGCTTTCAGAGCCATACGGATAAGGGTAGGCAGATGATGATACTTATTTTGTGTCTCTTGCCTTGTAGAGAAGAGCATGTAGTGTTTAAAGGGACTACTAGAATTTTAAAATATTTTGAATCCAATTAAAAAAGAACTAAATATGTAGCACTGGGAGTATGTTATTCCTTGAGTTACAATGCAACTGAGTTAATTTTGTTTGTTGGGGAGCCATTATATTTGTTGTAAACTTAAACCTATTCACCTGTTTCGGCGTAAGGAACTTATAGTACATATCATATACTCTTTTATTATTGTGTATTTACCTTTTTTTTCAAAATAAATTCCAGCACATGGCCATATGTTACAAAGAACAGTTGAATCAGATGGCAGTGTGATAATGGTGGCATATCTGTCTTTCCCTAACGAATGTGAATTCGTTGTTATGAAAATGCACAATGGTGGATCTGGAGGAGTGCGCTTTTCTCATATTAGTCGGATTTTTGGACCACAGGTATTTAATTTTATATTACAACTAGCTGTTCTCTTTATGTATAAATATTGTGATCTGATACCTACATAAGTGATTAATTGCTATTGTTTTTACAGGTAAATATAAAAAATATTTGTTTGTTTCAGTTGGATCTGCTGGACTACGTCATTGGTTATGGAGAAAGTAGTAATGTGATATGGGCTCTATGGAGTCAACCAGATGGTGATACCATTATTACCTGTAAGTTTATTCAATCATTTAAATAATGTCATACAAATTTCAGTGACCACACAGTCAGTCACAGTAACGCTGAATGTTTTATATTTAACATTCAATTAATTATTTAAGCAGTTAGAAGTATTTGACACTCAAATAGATAGGTGAAATAATCAAGGTATGAATGTGGTCAGGTGTGTCGACCGGGGTGGAGGCGCTGTGGCGTGCGGTGGCGTCGCGCGAGGCGGGCGGTGCGCTGCCGGTGTTAGGCTCGCACGACCACTACCGCGACCGACTCCTTGCACCTGCACTTTTCCCGCCCGCTGTCATTAGAAAAGCTCTCGTGGTACGTATTTGCTCGTCACACTAAGTTTATATAGTTTTTTTTATAGTTATCGCTAAATAAATGTGCTTATAAGCATATTTAATGTTATAAACTTAATTACAGTAATCTAATAACTTCAAATTACAGCTCATACAGCAACTCTTGTACAAGCATGTGTATAAATTACGTTTTTTTTTTTTTAAATGAGCCATCGCGGAATCAGCTAAGTCATCAAGTCTCATGACTTGATGAAATCAAATTAATTTTGTTCATTGTTATTTATGTTGAACATGACAATGTGACTTTTTTTTTATTATTTTGACTTTTTGATTATTATTGTTGTTTTTATTATTATTTTTTTGTTTTATTGTATTGATCTGACTTAAGAACATTCATAATACTCTTGACATTATTAATTCTCTGATTAAATTATGATATGAATATATTCTTCAAATGGTATTTGTAATGTTGAACGTCTAAATAATAATCTTTTAAATATCTATGTCTAAATATTTGCACACCTTTAAGAGGTTATATTACAGCGTACCCATGTATTATATTATGTATCTTCTACCACCTTTATACCTGTTTATGCAAATAATAAATGATTTTGATTTTGATGTCTAAAATAGTGTCGTACGTACGAAATTACTCGAAAATTTTGGCAGCGCTACTTAATGAACGAAGTGCAAGATGAAAATGTGATTTGTAGTTATCGCACTCAGGCGCTTTAGTTAGGCTGGTTCTGATGAATGTCTGCAATTATATAGATTAGGTGTAGTTGAGTTATTTTATTTCATTTTATTAGTTATTTCATTCGTTTTCAGTAGTTACTTCATAAGTTAGTTTCATTCGTTCATCAGTTAGTATTGTAAAACTGGTTATTATTCAGATTTACAACCGCACTTGGGGAAATAGCGATTGCGGGTTAGACGGTGACCTAGGCGAGGCCGCCATGAACGCAGTGCAGGCGCGCCTCCGTCACCTTACAGCTCGGACAGCTTCGCCCGACCACGCACATCTCATGCACAAGTTAGTACACATTATAATCAATAACAACGACAGATTAAGAATACGGAATGTCACCACCCCTATTCATCCAGTGGATGTCGTAAGAGCCGACTAATGGAGCAAACTACGCAGGACAACAGCACTACAAAGAGAAGGAAAACTTCAGGAAAGGTCAGCGTGGTATAGTAGGCTAAAACCTCCTTTCTAAGGAGAGGCCTATGACTAGCAGTGGACTATTATAGGCTGTTGATGATGATGATGATAAACAACAACTGCTTGCCTATAGTGTATAACAACAGTTTATATTTTTTGGTTGGTTTCTTACAGGGCAACCAACACATTATACATCTTAAAGCTAAAATGATTATGTAGGTTTATAGAACTACGAATTTTCCATCTAAGATTTTGAGTTCAAAAATCTTGGATGGAAAACTCACCTTATTCTTCTTCATTATAGTACATTAACTGTACTCCATGCAATCCGATGTGCAACGTGAGAAATGAGGAACAAAACTGACTCGAAAAACAATCTTTGAAGTGGTTTGTGTGTCGTCTCACAATTTGAACATTGTAATTTTTATGAAGAATACACAAACCAACTTAACATTTATGTTTATATGTATGTAGATGTACATATGTGCTCGGCCACATGTTTTGGTGCGCCGACATAGACATCATTATGGTCATATATAGTAGAGCAGAATTATATAATATGTGGGATAGGGTGACAACTGGTTAATTTATTAGATAATGTAATGCAAATCTTTTAAATATTTTAAACATTTGTCCATTTTGTTTAAGATGCTGGTCAGATTTATACAGCTGGTGCATGCAGTATATGGAAAGTTTGCAGAAGCCTCTTGGACTTATGGTGTCCAAGCATGTAAGTTTTAGCCCGACTTCATTTTGCATAGTGTTTACAATTCAAAGGTTATATTTATTTCTTTAATCACAAATTTGTTCCGACAATGATTATAGGAATCTGATGTTGAAAGTGGTTGGTGGTGTGCAGTAGTGCGTCGCACCGGTATATCACTCGTTTGTGAACTAGAACCTCTTGAAAGAATGATGCTGTCACCTGATGCGCAGTTGCTCGATGGAAGTGGTATGTTATAAGAGATGGTTTCCTCACTATTTCAACAAGGATAAATATCTTAGTAGAAAATTATAATTAATAGATAGTTTTTTTTTTCTACATTTTCTGTTAAATGCCATTTGCATGTTATGTACACATTTGAAAAATTTAAATGTGTGTAAAAATCGGCCACAAAATGTATTAAAGGCTTGTCAAAATTTGATCTTTGTAGACCTATTTCTTAGGGATTCACCGTGCGGGTGCCGGGTCCATCGCGTAATAGATGTGGGCAAAACATGCGATTTCGACAGCGCCTGGGAATTGCGACCCAGGATTAGGTTTAGGGAGTACTCTTTGCGACGCGTCAGCGCTCACCTCCACTGTCTGCTGTTTTACCCCCCTCTACCTAACCATATTTAATACTATTTGGATAATCGTTCAAGAAAAGAGCTTAGTAAAACTTTTGGAAATCCAAGGTCTTTAAGCAGGCTATAGAGGGATTTATGCACCCACTTCCACGGCATATAATGCAACAAAATAACCATTTTTAGTTATTTGTTGGTTAAGTCATTTTATTTTAAAGCGTTGTCTTTAGAGATGTTCGTTTCCCACTGTACCGTGAGTTCTACTAATATAACACGGTTAACCGGTTAATTGACATAGCATTGAGAAATATGTCTGGTCTGGATGCCAAGGCACAGTTTTTTATGGTACAATAGGGCAAACGAGCAGACATGGCCACCTGTAACTTAAAAGTCACAAGTGCGTTGCTGAGCTTGGAGTCCCTCCCGCGCGAGTCAGCGGGAGGGGGGATTTGGGCTCCGGTAACTTTACTCACTCAGCTCGCTTATCACTGGTTTTCTGTGAGGCCGTGGTATCATTCCGGTCTAGCCGGCTCATTGTGCCGAAGCATGGCTCTCCCACGGTAAAAATCACCTCCGGTATTTTCTAATGATTTTAATTCGTGTCCACTAATAATGTCCAGTCACTGGCGGTATTTATAATTGAGTACGGCTTTTGTAAGTCTCTTTTGTTGAACTCGATGTTAGTTCTTATGTTTGTTGTTATTGCTTTTTTTGCTCTCGCCAGTGATAATCAGTCTCATAGCTTTGCGGATGATTTGTAATACCCTATCATGGCGACGTGAATAATGACCTGGCTGTACCTCCGCACTGCACATCGTACAAGCCTTTTCTGTAGCTTTTTCCTGTAGTACTAAGATCACGAAAATTTTAATAATACTTTTATGTAGATCATTACTATATATGATGTTATATATATATATATATAACATCATAATTTATTGTAAATAAATATATTAACAGTAGTAGCATATATGTCTGATATTGGGCAACGGCACGACGCGTGCGCTTATCGTTAAAATCAAAAATATCTTTCCTGCCTTCCTGTTACCTACTTTCGTCTCTTTTTGTGAAATCGCTCATTCAGATTGCAGGAAAGCGAGGGAAAATGTTGCACATCAAAAATACTTTTACAAGACGGTATTGAATATTTCATGCATTTTATTATCATAAAAATAAAATGCATGAAAAAAACTATAAAACATTATAGTTTTTTTTTTTATTCGAGTTTTATTGATAATTAAACAGGTAATCACGAATGAAATATTTTTTTTAATAATAAAAATGTATTTATTCTGATCTGGCAGAAGTGAGGGAATAGAGAGTATTCAAATGTACCACAAGCAAGGTAACGCAGTAACGCGGTAATGTGCAGGGGTGGAGTCGGGCGAGCTGTCGGAGGACGCGGTGCGCATCGTGGTGGCGGGCGCTCGCTGGGAGCGCGCCGCGCCGCCCGCCGCCGCCGCCGAGCTGGAGCAGCGCCTGTTCGCGTGCGGCGGCCCGCAGCACCGCCTGCTGCCGCGCCTCCTGCACCTGCTGCTCACGCCCGCCGACCGCTCCACGCCCGTGAGCTGACCTACTACGTTTATAACGTGCCTTCATGAATCTGACTAGTGTAAACAGCGTGTACCTCGCATCGGTCTGTTGCTACGGCGAATATTCTACATACAGCCTTCAGACAAAGCATCTATACTAATGTCATAAATAGGTGTAATTTATTTGTATGTAGGGGATGATCTTTGAAACTACTGGACCTATTCTGGAGATTCTTTCACTAATATGTAGCTGCATTAACCGTGAGCGATATAGGCTAATAATTATATTCATATCTTCAAAATCAGCGGGCGGAGCCGCGGGCGACAGCTAGTATTATAAATAAATATATTTTTAAATATTAGTTCTGTATATAATAGTAGATAATTTATAGTCTCCTTTTCGTTTTTTCCTGTGCGGCAATGCCCACGAAAATCACCCACCGGTGGGGTGATTATGTCGTTCTCGAACCGACCAAAACCCTGGCGGGCCGGGAGAGTTCTAAACCTCTTCGGGTCCCGGTCCGCCATCCCCTTCGCAAGAATAACTTGCTCGCAGAAAGAGACGGCGGAGTTCCACGCACTCTCGCTCCGTACTATTGCGGCAATCATACTATCGAGCGAGAGGACTCCCACTCCGATGGCCACCACGAGGGCATTCTGCCAACTTGTGGAGGGCCACGTCCACGGTTTGGGCCACCGCAGTGGTGGCACTCAAGCGTTGGCTCCTTGCGGATCAGATACAGGTGATCTCTGAAACAACCTTTCTCGGTGATCACCTACGTCAGCCGGAATGAGAGGGTTCCGTGATTCCTCTCGAGTCAATCCTCCATAACGGGTCTTACCGACCCCGACCCAACTCTCGCGCCTCCTTGCGCCACCGATACAGAGCCGCAAGGGCTCTCGCCTCCAAATCCCACGGTGAAGTTCCGGCCATTCGACTCGCCGCCTCAAAGGAGATCGTGCTGTGCCCCTTATGACCCTGATGGCCAGTACTTGCTGCGGTCGTCGCAATAGTGCGACGTTGCTGGCCCCGCCCATACTGGGGCCCCACAAAGGGACATGGACCGCACAACCCCCGAGTACAGTCTCCTGCAGGAGTCATCGGGTCCCCTCATGTTAGGCAGCAGCCGCGCCAGTGCACGCGCTGCTCCAACCAACTTGGGGACCAAAGCTCGAAAATGATGTCCGAAGTCCCATCGGCCATCGAGTACGAGCCCCAGATCGCCCCCATCGAGAGCGCGAAACCAGCATTTTATTAATTTGGCTCATTGACACAATTTATATAATTGCAGATCTTAACTCCTCACCAAATAGAAGAATTGACCTCTATCCTGAATCCTATTAAAGACTTGCAAAGTGCTGTTCTTGAGTTGAATGATGCTTTGAGACTGGATGTTCCAGAGATTGAAACTGTTAAGAGTGAGTACTACATATTTCATTTACAAATAATTTCTAATTGTAACCCTTTCCAACTGAATTTAAACAGAAATATTTCAGCGAAAATAGTATCATACCTGTCCAATATAAATTGCTGGATCTTTAAACAAAACACAATCCAAACTGGTGACTTGCTGTAGGATAGTAAAGTATTATTACACTACCATACGTACCGAAAGTTTGGAAGCACTTATATTATTCTATTTGCTTTGGATTAAAATTATAAATATTATATTTTTTCACTAATCAGTCAGATATTTGAATAAAACAACTATTTTACGATACATTTTCTACTAAACTTTGTTTAGTAACCTCATAAATTTATAAATTAGTTTCATCTATTTCCACCACCTTTCGCCCAAGTTGACAAATTCTAGGCATTTTCTGAAGCAATCTGTGCAAAAAACCAAATATTCGGGTTCAATCTTTCGTCAAGCTTCTTGTAGATGTTACCACAGCACTCTGGTACTTAATGCCAGATGTTCTTTAGCTTTTAGGCCCATTTCATCAAGTCAAGTGATTGTGGGCCCCACTTTTTACACTTTACATTCAAGCACAACATTTGTTTCTTGTTTTTCTGAAAATGCTTTGAATATTTTTGTACCTTTGTTTCTATGCAGTCTATGCAGACTACACCTACATGACTATATTCACAAAAACCATCGCCATTTCACGACTGTTTTTACGAAGAAAAAAACTAATGTTTAATTTTTTCAGGCGAAGAAGGCGAAACTGACGAATATGAGTGCCTACTCGCCAGCGATCTCGGTGTAGCTATCGTCACTGAAGCAATACGGCAAATGGCAGAAATGAGGTATAGCACATGGGCTGAAAAGTCCCGGGCCTAACGCATAGATGGCACTAGCCTTATTGCATTCACTGCTTTTTCAGTTAGTACTAACCGTCAAAATAAATCTGTTAAATTTTCATGATATTCTACTCATAATTTTGTGAGTTATTGTGCTGCTTATTGATGAGACAAAATACCGTTTAAGCAAAGCAATGGCTAGAAAAGAGTTATAAGGACTCTGCTTATTCTGAAACAACAATGAAACGTTGGTTTGCTAAGTTTTTTGGCTCCCAGCGATTACTGGCTATTTGCAGAAAAAAATGATCACGAATAAAGAGGTTATTGCTGAAACTCGAGGCCTATATTGAGGCAAAAGATAAATCGCTCTACAAAAGTGGGATTGATATGTTAGAGCGGCGCTGGAATGATTGTGTAGCTCTTAATGGAGCTTACGTTGATGAAATAAGTCAAATTTAGACAAAAAAAATGCGTTTTCTTTGTTGGGCACGGGACTTCACAGCCCATGGTTATAACACAACCGATGTTTATGATAAAAAAAGCAATATTTCTAGATTTTTACTGATAACATTACAGGATGTAAGCACTCACTAAATGTATACTTGTGGATATGATCTATGAGGGAATACCTCTTTTAAATTGTCACTTACCGGTCGGTATTTCTATGTACCGCCTAATGCGATACAAAAATCGAAGCAATTGATACTAGCTGTATGTCGCAAGTATCACTTTCAAATTTATTGATTTATTGAAAGGCCGGTGGCGATAACACTAGTGTACGACATAAAAATACTCTTGACATCAAATTGCAACAACAACAACAGCAAAATGAGAAAAAAAAACATTTTAAATTCTCAATAAATGACATGACAAACTAAAATCGATTCAAATAAAACCAAAGTAAAATTAAAATCATTATTAAAATAAAATTTAAAAAAAAACAAAATTCAAAACAGAATCAAAATTAAAATCAAGATCAAAATCAACATTAAAAAACAAAATTAAAATCACAATTAAAAATTAATATCAGAATCAAATGAAAATCAAAATCATAATCACCATCATAATCAAAATCCAAATTAAATAATAAAATCAAATCCAAGGCTTCATCACAATTAACAGTTGTAATCTAAATCAATACCAGAATCAAATTCAAATCAAATTCAAGCTAATATTTCACCAATCTGGAACATAAATTATATATAATATCTGTTGCTACCTGTTTTAACTGTTTCTAATCTAAGTCGCCGCTCGTATTTATTTGTCAGGTCGCGGGTGGTTCGGGGAGCCTTATGTGTACTTGGCGCTTACCGGGACGCCGGCGGCGTGCCGGGCGCCGGCCACTGCGCCGTGCACTGGCAGGCCTACCGCGCGCTGCTGTGGCTCCGTGCAGCTACCTTGCAGCCACAGTGAGTACCCATCTACTACGTATGTACCAGCGGGCTCCGCGCCGGCCACTGCGCCGTGCACTGGCAGGCCTACCGCGCGCTGCTGTGGCTCCGTGCAGCTACCTTGCAGCCACAGTGAGTACCCATCTACTACGTATGTACCAGCGGGCTCCGCGCCGGCCACTGCGCCGTGCACTGGCAGGCCTACCGCGCGCTGCTGTGGCTCCGTGCAGCTACCTTGCAGCCACAGTGAGTACCCATCTACTACGTATGTACCAGCGGGCTCCGCGCCGGCCACTGCGCCGTGCACTGGCAGGCCTACCGCGCGCTGCTGTGGCTCCGTGCAGCTACCTTGCAGCCACGGTGAGTACCCATCTACTACGTATGTACCAGCGGGCTCCGCGCCGGCCACTGCGCCGTGCACTGGCAGGCCTACCGCGCGCTGCTGTGGCTCCGTGCAGCTACCTTGCAGCCACAGTGAGTACCCATCTACTACGTATGTACCAGCGGGCTCCGCGCCGGCCACTGCGCCGTGCACTGGCAGGCCTACCGCGCGCTGCTGTGGCTCCGTGCAGCTACCTTGCAGCCACAGTGAGTACCCATCTACTACGTATGTACCAGCGGGCTCCGCGCCGGCCACTGCGCCGTGCACTGGCAGGCCTACCGCGCGCTGCTGTGGCTCCGTGCAGCTACCTTGCAGCCACGGTGAGTACCCATCTACTACGTATGTACCAGCGGGCTCCGCGCCGGCCACTGCGCCGTGCACTGGCAGGCCTACCGCGCGCTGCTGTGGCTCCGTGCAGCTACCTTGCAGCCACAGTGAGTACCCATCTACTACGTATGTACCAGCGGGCTCCGCGCCGGCCACTGCGCCGTGCACTGGCAGGCCTACCGCGCGCTGCTGTGGCTCCGTGCAGCTACCTTGCAGCCACCTTGCAGCCACAGTGAGTACCCATCTACTACGTATGTACCAGCGGGCTCCGCGCCGGCTACTGCGCCGTGCACTGGCAGGCCTACCGCGCGCTGCTGTGGCTCCGTGCAGCTACCTTGCAGCCACAGTGAGTACCCATTTATTACGTATGTACCATCGGGCCCCTCGCCGGCCACTGCGAGCCTACCGCGCGCTGCTGTGGCTCTGTGCAGCTACCTTACCTACCGATTGTAATATCGATATCGAAGTAAAGTTAACATACGAGGATGCGTTTTTAAGTTCGCGGAATGAGAGGGTTGGAGGGGGGCGATTAGGCTCATTAGAATCGTCACGTGTTCAGTGACTCATAATTAGTATAAATACCAGGTTTCATTGTTATTAGACAAATTAGTCTTTGAGTTATCGTCAACCAAGCAACATAATCGGGAGTGAAAAGTGAAACATGGAAAAAATCGAATATCGTGCCGATATAAAGTTCCTTACCAAGCAAGGAAAATCAGTTGCGACCATAATGAATGAGATGTCATTGGTTTACGGCGACTCTTGTCCAGGAAAAACCATGGTGTACAAATGGCAAAGTTTATTTAAACAAGGAAGGGAATCCCTTGAAGACGACCCGAGGCCGGGCAGGAGCATCGAGGTGATCACGCCAGAACTTATCCAAAAGTCGAAAAAATTGTACCTACTCGACGATGCTCGACTAAAGAAGAAACAACTCGCAGAAATGGTTGGAGTATCTGATACAGCCATTTTTAGAATTCTGCACGATCATTTTGGCATGACAAAGGTCAGTGCAAGATGGGTGCCGAGAATGCTCACGCCGACGCAAAAACAACAGCGCGTAAAGTGTTCACGTGCATTTTTAGACCTTTGTAATGAAGACAAGGATGCTGTATTGAGTAGAATTGTTACTGGAGACGAAACTTGGGTTCCTCATTATGAACCTGAGTCGAAACAAGACTCCATGCAGTGGCATAAAAAGGGCACAGCACCTCCCAAGAAGTTTAAGGTGTCACAGTCAGCTGGGAAACTCATGGCAACGGTCTTTTGGGACTCAAAAGGAATATTATTGATCGATTATAAAGATAAAGGTGTTTCTATAACCGGAGAATACTACGCTTCAATATTAGACCGACTCAAAGAAGCCATTAGAGAGATTCTTTTGCACGACAACGCGCCCGTCCACAAGAGCCGCGTTGCTTTGGTTGCCCTGCATAAGGTGGGCTTCGATATTTTGAATCACCCACCCTACAGCCCAGACCTGGCCCCCAGCGATTATTACCTGTTTCCTAAAATGAAAAAAGAGCTGCGGGGTAAAAAATTTACCAACGATGATGAAGTCAAGGAGGCAGTTTCGGCGTATTTTGAAGACAAAGAGAAAACATTTTTTTATGAGGGTATAAACAAATTAATTGAAAGATCTGAAAAATGTATCCGTCTTGCAGGTGAATATATTGAAAAGGAAAAATAATTTGGTTTTTTTATTTCCACCCCTTATCCCCCAATCCGCGAACATAAAAACGCTCCCTCGTACATAGTCAGTCGCAAAATGTTTTCTAGTTCATATGCCCTTACTCGTCAGTATCAAGTTGACAAAGTTCCCTATCGATCGTAAGGGCCGGTGGTCCATCGGAAACGTTCCGGCTGAAGCTGAGTGCACTGGGCGCGGAGGCGCGGGCGAGCGTGTCCCGCAGGAGCGTGGTGGCGGAGTACGTGCGCGTGGCGGGCGGGGCGCGCGCGCGCTCGCACCTGGCCGCCGCACGCGCACACACCGCGTGGCACCACGCGCTGCCCCTGCTTGCTTATCACTTAGCTCATCAACTGTATCCTTTACTGTTTGTATCAATGTTCTCGCTAAACTTATATATACGTTTATAGAAAAGGAAGGTATATTAGGTATAGGTATATTCGTGATATAAGGAATGTGGCGATATTTAAAAAGGAATACATAAATAAAAGCAAATTTATAATATCCTTCTTCCTGCGATTAGTAATCGTACTTTTTGTTGATATCGCCTTTGTACTACTTATCTGTCAGTCAGCGCTGTTGCGAATAGTATAGATAGTAATAAAACTGTTGTCTTCAGTTGTATAATATCAAGTCTAATTACACCACGTTTGCGTAAAAAGTTATTTTGCACACGAACTATGGTCAAAATGGCACACTGACCTACTTACAAAGATGGATGAAGATAACTGAATAGATATTATGTACTTACTATACTGTCTTAGATTCCACTGTGTATATTTAAAAAGTAGAATTTGATCGTTATATAATTGAGTAGACTTCAAGTAGATGTTAAATTTTAAAATTAATTTGAATTCGATTACACACAACGAGTAAATCCTGAACGAAACAACAGCTGGGCTGTAAGTGGCGGCTTTGACTTCAGTTGGTGGTTAGCTTCTATAGACCAACCACGCCTTGTTCAAAATTATGTGACGATGCTCGAGCCCTGGTGTGAATGGAACTCATGTTCACGTAAGTGGTCCAGTTTCAAAGTTTGAAGCAAATTAAGTTTCAATTATTCCATTAAGTTTCAAGTGTCTATCAGCTGGTGTGGGAAACAGCCATAACTTATTTACTGTTAATTTTCTTGAGAACTGTCCGTGTGGTGACGAATTAAGAATACAGAGTGTCACCACCCCTATTCATATCGCAAGAGCCGACTAAGGGAGCAAACTATGCAGGACAACAGCACTGCAAAGAGAAGGAAAACTTAAAACAAACCCTATACCAACCAACCCGTCTGGGCAGTGTGGTATAGTAGGCTAAAACCTCGTTCCTAATGACAGGTCTATGTTCAACAGTGGACTAGTAAAGGCTTCTCTTCAGTAATCAACAGATGATGATGTTGAATTTTTCCATAAAAATCAAATTCTGAAGTGAAGTGTATAGTAGGCCAAAACCTCCTTTTTAAGGAGAGGCCTATGTCCAGCAGTGGACTAGTAAAGGCTGTTGATGATGATGATGATTGATGAAGTGAAGTGAAGTGAAGTGAAAGTGAAATGATTATGACAGAGAATTACAGACGCTGCTGTTGGGAATCAATAACTTATATCTACATATATTTAAGTATAGTAATATTGATACCAGCCAAAGAAAGCCTAACTACTAATTATAAAATGCCTTCAAATTGGGCGTTACAATGAAATTAACACGTTTCTTGGTAATGTCTGTGATTGAAGGTTATTAATCCATTATACTTTTACTGTAGGTCAATTTATTCTTGGGTTGGCATTGCTGGACTTGGATGACGCCGAAAAAGCTTACACAGCTTTCTACAAGGCGGCGAAGGGAGTCAGTACTGAGCCATTTCTGAGGGGGCTTGTAGCCGCGGACTCACGGCTCACACAACATCAAGCGCTTGTACTGTATTATGTGAAGGTATTATATTTATTCATAATGAATAATTGTTTATTTAGATCAAATTAGTTCGATTCTTTCTTTTTTTTATTTGGATCTTGAACAAGAAATACACCCTACATGCTACTTTACAGCTAATAAAATTTATGTCTTGTGCTCTCTTAATTATAATAGCCCCCAACATGGACATCAGAAAAATTATTAATTACAAACAGTGGCCACAAACGGCCTTTGTAGATGAAAAAAATAAAACAATTAATTCTGCAAAAAGTAGTAAAATAATAGTAGTTAATATTTAGGTGGTAGGAAGGTACCTTTTTTATTAATTTAGCGAGACTATTACAAAAGATGTCTAAGTCTCCTGAAGGAACTGAAATGGTGTTTTTTCATATTTAATTATATTAAGTTTGCATGTTTGGAAATCTATTTATAAAATATCTTGTTAAATAATTAAAAAGAAAAAACTATATATATATATATCTGATTTGCTTATATTTTATTTTGCATAGGTGATAAAATTGTTTCAAATTCACGATGCGGGGGCATGCGTAGTGAGGCTTGCAGAGACGGCCATCAGTATCGCTGACACAGACGATCCCAATTTGGTAAGTCACGTCGACCTTTACTTTTAGTAACTGCTTAAAAACCTAATAGACAGTCATCTCAACTTACCAAAAAAAACGGCAGTAGTGATTCATTAATTGAGAGCAAAAAAGGTAGTATTTCGATATAATTTGCCACCTGCGAGTCAAAGTTGTCTTCGTCTAATACGTTTGGTGGTGTCGACAGACGATGTTCCAGTGGGTGGTGTTCAAGTGGCACCTGTCGAGCGGGCAGACGGCGCGGGCGCTGAGCGCGGCGGCCGCCATCCCCGCGCGACACACGCGCGAGGCCGCCGCTGCAACGCTACTCACTACGCTCGGTACTCACTCCTGATATGTCCTGGCCGTACAATCGATCACTACCTAGGGTCCACGTTTTATAAATAAATATATTTAAATAATATTTCATGAAATGCACGCCAGATCGTGATGTGATTTGACTAGATTGATGAATAATACCTAAACTATACTTATTAATGATGTAAGAGGCGCTAACATTGATTCGCTTTAACATTATGGCGACAGACAATTATTTCAAGCGAATAATAATGTAGAAATAAAAGAAAACTTTGTTAGTTTGTTGAAGTTGAAGAAGAATAAAGTCGTTCCTTTAATCACGACTAGAATTTTTTTCTAAATCTTTTTACTAAAAGCGATAACTATATCATCATCAACAGCCTTTAATAGTCCACTGCTGGACATAGGCCTCTCCTTAGAAAGGAGGCTCTGGCCTACTACATCATAATCAATATTAATTCATATATCATCAAACAAACGCTATAGTCAGTTTTAAATGGCCAAATCATAAAATACAGCCATTTCAAATAAAATGTATGTATATAAATGACGAATTCCTCAAGAAGTGTGCATCTATTGGGTCATAACCTAAGAAGTGTGCATCTATTGGGTCTTTACCTATGAAATTGGAGATATGTGTGTAAATTTTTAAATTTTTGGTTATTTTTTATTTAAGCTAATCACAGCACTGATCCAAATTATACAATTTTGCCATTTTGATGGCAGTTTGTTTATCCCTTTACAGTACCAGTTTGTTTTTGCCCAGCAGACGCTGGACGGGAAACGATAAAGTCAGCGAAAGCGTTTTGTACTGCCTCTTGGCTGTAGAATATTTACCCACTTAAGACCTTGCATACGTCCAGCGGTACCGAAAATGTACCAGAAGAAAACTGATTTTAGGAGGGATAGAAATAGAAATTGATAAAAAAATTCTTAAAAATTGTTTATTACTGTGTTAAGTTTGTAAAAAAATTTAATTCAATATTTAAAAAAAAATTACAACATGAAAAATCACATTTTTTTAAGCACTGTAAAAAAAAAGTTGCTCCACGGTCGGCAGTATTTCTTCCTCAAATGTTGACGGATCTGCAAAATGTAAAGAAATTCTTGTAAAATAAGGTAGTAGTTATAGTCTGTCGAGCCGGATTTAAATTCGAAAAATTCAACAATTGACGGTAATTTAAAAAAGTCACTTTAATTGTTTTTATAAAAAAAATCTAATTATAATTTAAAAAATCCGGCTCGACAGACTATAGAAAAAACAATGCCGAATATTTAAAAAAAAATATCAGAAAATATTAAAAACCGTACGAGTTATCATGCCGACCGTGTCAGAAAAAGTAGTTTTGAGAAAAACGCAAAGTAGTTTAAAGTTTCAAGCGCGTTTCGCTCGAAGTCGCGCGCGGCTGGAGCAAGAACTTTATGATTTTTTTAAATTTATTTAGTTAACTTAGGTCTAATCTCCCATTCCAGCTTCATATTGTACGCCTTCCTTGTCAGTAAACTCAACTCAGGTAGGCGCGCGTCAGACCTTTGTCCTTTCGTCGGGCAGTCACATATCAGCGTACACAGAAATACGCCCAAGACTATAAGGAATAATCTGTAAACAAAAAAAAAACGATTTTTCGAAAATTCTCGACGTATGTGGCTATGGTTTTAAAAAATTATCTAAACTTTGAAAAAAATAAAATTTGTTGGGGCAAGGTCCAGTGAGTACAATGTGTGGTGGAGAGCTTTCAGTTGTAATTCTTGTAGCTTTGCGATGGTCTGTCTTAATGATGTCTTTGTGATGGTTGTTGGAGTTCGCTCGTTGTCGTGGAGGAGCAATGGGGAAGAGCGGTTGACCAGTCGTGGCTGTTGAATTGCGAGCTTCTCCATCATTGTCTGCAACTCTTAGAGAATTTGGAATTGCGCGCCAAACAACAGATAATTAAATTTGAAAATGCTGGTTTTAAAAATCTCCAATTTCATAGGTAAAGACCTATTTTGCCACCTTGTATACATGGATACTAAAGTATAAGTGAAGTGAGCGTGTGGGGTGTGTCGTGGCAGGGCCGCGGCGCGAGCTGGGCGCGCTGGTGTCGTGCAGCGCGCTGGCCGAGTTCGCCGAGCGCGCCGCCGCCGCGCGCGCCAAGCTGCACGACGCGCACGCGCACAACCCCTACTACGACTTCCTCTACGCGCTCTACATCTCACGTCATCACTATAGAAAAGGTATCGCTTTGTTTGTCTGTTATACGTCCTGTCACTTCGCCACCGTTCGCCTCAAATATTTGCTTATATAATTAAACCGTTACCGAAAGGGTAGTAATGTGTGGCGTGTCTATACCGAATGGATAGTGTTTATACTACACCCTACTATTTATTACTAATCACATACTTACTGTTAAAATGTATCGTAACATTGGCAACCAGTGTTTTTTTTAAATTAATGATTTCATCGATTAATTTAAAACGGTACATATAAGTATATTCCCGTGAATGTATAAAACTGAGCAAAATTTTATCGTGCAAGTACATAGATGTATACAATATTCGTAAATCTATAAGTCTCAGTCTAAAATTTCATCACTCTTTCGTAAAACAATAATGACTTTACGGCTCATTAGATATAGTTTACGGTATATTTAGTCCAACGTGAGTGTGGTATGGATGTGCAGCGGCGTCGATAATGTACGAGCGCGCGGCGCGGTGCGGCGCGGAGCGGTCGGCGCGCGGCGCGGCGCAGCGGCGGCGCTGCGAGGCGGCCGCGCTCACGTGCCTGCGCCTGGCGCGCCCCGGCCACGACTTCCTCGTCCGCCCGCACGCGCACTCCTCGCAGCCGAAACAAGTGCAGGTCACACACGATTATCGTACGAGACACCCTCACATGCTTTTATCGATCCATAGATAACGACGTGCACTAACTTAAATGCCTAGTACGAGACTCGATGAAAATTAATTAGTGTTACCTACTAACGTGGAGTGAATTAAGGCAGTTAATTACTGCTTTGCACGCGGTAACATAAATTTTATTAATGAAATAAGCATCTCTCGGAATCGATATTTACTTAATAAACTTAATACGATAACGCCTTGTGAAAGAAACTACTCTTCTGTACCACTAACGTACTAATTAGGATCTTTAAATATATTTTTAACATACATATTTTACTATAGGTTATTGGACCCGAGGAATTGGCGGCCGAGCTTAGAGAAGACGATCCCGATTCTCTAGATCCAGTGCAACGAGCGCTACTTCGTAAGGATAATGTTTATTTAAAATCTTTAATTTTCTTCCAAGCCGATAATTGAACTTCATTCATATTTTAATTAATTTACTTATAATTTAAGATGGCGGCAATTTAGACTTTGATGCTTTGTATCCAAACCTGAAGGAGGCCGACCCAGAAACGTTGCTGGCGGTAACAAAGAGAGCGATTAGTACTGAACAGTTTTTGCCACACTGGTTTCTTGAAAGATATATGGTAAGATACTTTCAATATATTGATTAATAGCGTAGAAACCTTAGTTCATCTTCATCTCGCCCTGTTCTTAGCAGACCTATCCTACCTTTAAACCTCCCTATCTTAAAACATATGGACTTTAATAGAAACTTGCGAGAACCCTAATAAATATTCATTAATTTGGACCTGTCGCAAAACCTTTATCTTTTAATACTTCCTTGAAAATTTTAATACGAATATTATCGTTATCTGTCGCTTGCTGGTGATTAATGCAGTTTTGCAAGAAGATGCTTGTAGCACTTTTTAATAATTTCGCCTTTTTTTTTTACAAATCTGTCACTGTCGAAATCAGACCTCTATATTACTGGTTACATGTGACGTAGTGTAAGCCAACAAAGTCATTTATTAAATAGAATACCAGATCAAACAAAAATTCAAATTCGCTTTAACTGTAAAATCTATGTTTATTTTCGAGAAACGATTTGAAATATAATAACTTTAAAGGAAGAAAAACAGTTTTATATTGATAGTCAGTTAAAGGATAGACCCACCACAAAAACCATCTACCTATTAGATGTAATCTGAAGGAGGGATTCTATAACAAAACTACATATCAGATTTTTTCTTTTTTTGAAAATTTTAATTTAACGAAACAAAAATATTCGAGTCGGCCAAGTAGTACCTACTTGCTTTTTAGCAACACTAAAGAATATTACCTTCTGTGATTCCTTCGCCAACAACCGCAGGGCACGTCGAAAATAGAACTCTTTTATAGTACTAAATAAACATACAAAAACCTATTCTTAGTGTATCTTTTTGTGTCATTTCTTAGACGTATTTATTACTATTAAAAGTACACAATGATAGTTATATGACAAGTAGTCACTGTAATCGGAAAAAGTCAATGTAAAATCATCGTTCAAAATGTATCATTTGCCGTACATATGCTTGCCATGGACGTGAACAGCCGTCAGCTAGGGATGCGAAGGGATGCGAAGGGATGGACAACAATTTATTAAATGATTTATGAAAACCAATTAAAATACTTTACTAACATATGATGAAAATTATTTTTCATCAACAACATTTTACAACAGATGAAATACAAAGTAAAATGTGTAATAAATGTACCATGTGTAGGGCCAAAGTCATAGATAAATATTATGTGCAAATATATAATTTTGGGATTACTCTCACGCTATGACGTCGATCGGGCTGCCGGACTCTGATAGTGAATATATCTGATAGCAATAATTTAGTAGATTAAAATACTTTATGTACAATAAATTTATTTATTTATTTATTAAATCTTTATGCACCAATGTGGCAAAGGCGGACTTAATGCCGTAGGCATTTTGTACCAGTCGGCCTTAGGGCGATGCAGAGCCAAACGTAGTAGATGCACATAATTTAATTTATTAAAACTATAGCATATATAGAATATTATATAACCAGAGTACTTATATAAATAACACTGGAATAATTTTAATGAAAAATACAAATACAATAAGTAATCATGATACTAATACACATAATACATAAATATTTATATTCACACATACATTTATATACTTAAATATACGTAATATAAATTCTAGGAGAGAGTATAAAATTAAGGTGGATCTGATAGTGTTTAAAAAATGTTTCTGCAACAGGTATTTAAATGTTTGCCGACTTTTTGCCATCCTGATCTCGAGAGGGAGCGCGTTCCACGAGGTGGTAAAATGTTGGTTTAGGATCGAAGATTTATGGATTGCGGCAAGTCCACATGTCGCGATCTGCCCATACCAAGAGTCCCAAGGAACTTCCAGATGTCGGCAGGAGACGAAGAAGAAATATTGTCTTCAATGTGGCCTTTATCTGGGTACACCGATTTCTTGCAGACTTGTACGATTGCCAGTTGACTTCGACGCGGTCCCTCTTGTTAGTTCTAAACGCCCGATTTAGACGTCTCATGGCCATCTGTATACCCCTGGTCATCCAGGTTGCCGGCAGTCGTTTAATCCTAACCTTTTTAACCGGTACATGAAAATCGTACAGTTTAGTCACTATTTCGTTGAATACGTACAACTTGTCATCGATAGAAGTGGAATCAATCAGGGATGTCCAGTCAATATGTGACGCATCGTATAAAACGCCTGTATAAAATAAGTTTGAGAACGTAGGAGAGGAAAATCAGGTCATGATGTGAAAATCCGGGAGCGTCAAGTTGACCATGAGAGGAAACAAGGGAAGGATTAGAGGTGATAATTAAGTTGCGCCAAGTGTCCTTGCTGACATGATTGTGTTGAGTAGCCTGTAGTGGCAGAACATGCAAGCTGACCGACTCAAGGAGTTGGTGTTTAGAGGAACGAGTGGAGTTTTAGGCCAGGCGATTGGTATTAAAATCACCCATGAAGACATGATGATCGTACTCTGCACCCAGAGATTCAGGAACTGTTTCGAAATCAGTGAAATAGTCAATAGAAGGGGGACAATAGACAACACCAAGTACGACCTTAGCGCCTTTGACACAAACCTCTAAGAATAGGAATTCAGCAGAAGCATCATAATTAGAAGAGGAATATGATGCAATTGTATAGGGAAAGTCACTGCGCAGGTAAATAGCCATAAGATAAGAATAAAGCCTTATCACAAAATGCCTCGTACAAATCAGCGTAGTGGCTAAGAACACTTTGGACATTTAGATGGCACATATTAAATAGATGGCTGTTTTTGTTACTATTAAATTCTAATGTTTTACTAGGGGTAGTTTATTGCCCCCCTGCTGTCAACTACTTCTCCAGTCTGGAAACAGTTCTGGAATCTTTAGGGTCAGAATACTCACACCACGTCATCATGGGCGATTTTAACACCGATCACCGAGCACTTAATTCGCCCCGTACTCGTAATCTCCTCCACATCATCCAATCCACTAGTCTCCATGTCCTCCCCCTTCAAGCAACTCATCACAACATTGAGCACCAAGATACTTGGCTTGACCTAATTATCACCTCTGCTCCAAGACTTGTCTATTCCCATGGTCAATATCCTGCTCCTGGATTTTCCCATCATGACTTGATCTTCCTTTCTTATATCTTGAAACCCCCTAAATCCGTTCCCAAATTTCTGCATATTCGTAGTTTCAGACGAATGGACGTCAAAAACCTGTGTGCAGGCGCTTTTGCATTAGACTGGACAGAGTTGGCTGCAGCTACAGACATGAACGAAAAAGTTACTCTTTTTAATGACGCAGTTCTTAACCTATATGATATCCACGCACCTGTGAGGAAGGTCAAATTGAAGCGCCCTCCGGCTCCATGGATGACGGAGGAAATTCGAATGGCTATGAGACGGAGAGACCGTTGTTTTAATGGGTACAGGAAGGATCGCTGTGAGGAGAAATGGAACCTTTTTAAAGCTGCTAGGAATCGGTGTAACCAGGTTACAAAACGCCGCCATATTATTCAAAATATAGAAACCTCTTCAACTTCCAGTGTGTGGAAGTTCCTTGGAACACTAGGCATTGGCAAGCAACAACGCCCTGAGTTTAAGATGACAATTGGTTTAGATGATATTAACCGTCATTTCTCAACTACACCTCAGTTGGATCATCAAACCAAGTGTCAAACCTTGAGCTATATAGCTATTCTAACCCACCCTGATATTAAATCCTTTGACTTTTCTCCGGTATCTTCTGAGGACATCAAAAAGATTATCCTATCCATTCGTTCCAATGCTGTGGGATGTGACGGTACCAGCCGTCGCATGATTGTTACCATCCTGGATCACGTTCTTCTAGCAATATCTCATATCATAAACTTTTCCCTTGACTCTGCAACCTTTCCCTCACTCTGGCGTAAGGCCTTCATCATTCCTTTACCCAAAAAAACTAACCCCTCTCTTCCCGAACACTTTCGACCAATTTCTATACTTCCCTTTCTTTCTAAAGTGCTAGAGGCCTGTGTACATAAGCAGCTCGCACAGTTTGTAAATCAGCAGAATCTTCTTAGTCCTTTACAATCTGGGTTCAGACCTGGTCACAGCACAACCACCGCTCTCCTCAAAGTGACAAGCGATATTAGGGAGGGTATGGAGGAGACTAAAGTCACAGTGCTGGCTTTGATTGATTTCTCGAATGCCTTTAATACCGTTAGTCATGACGTTCTACTGGCCATCCTTTCCTGTCTTATGATCTCCTCAGAAGCTCTGGAATGGTTCTCCTCCTATCTTCAGGGACGACAACAGAGTGTTCATATTGATGACTTGTCGTCGAGTTGGTGTGATCTTCTCACTGGCGTCCCTCAAGGCGGTATATTATCTCCCTTATTATTCTCAATATTCATTAATCTCATAACCCAGCACCTTCAGTGTATGTATCACCTGTACGCTGATGACTTACAAGTGTACACACAGGCAAGGGTTGAGGACATAACATACGCTATCGACAAAGTCAACAAGGACTTGGACTTTATAAAGAGCTGGTCAACGAGGTTTGGTTTGTCGGTAAATCCAACCAAATGTCAAGTGATCGTCGTGGGGAGCAAACAAATGATAAGTAGGTTGGATATGGCGGTCATCCCACCAGTTGTCTACAATAATGTGACTATACCTTATAGTGCAGTGGTAAAGAACCTGGGGTTATATATCGACTCGACACTTGACTGGCGGGCACAGGTTACACACGTCGGCCAGAAAGTCACCACATGTCTCCGTGCCTTATATCGATTGAAGAACTTCCTTCCCGCTAAAACTAAGGCTACGCTTATGCAATCCTTAATTATTCCCATAATCGACTATGGTGATGTGTGTTATTTCGACCTGAATGCAGACCTTCTCAATAAACTAGATCGCCTTCTCAATAACTGCATTCGATTCGTTTTCAATCTTCGCAAGTATGACCACGTGTCTGCTTTACGTTCCCAGCTGCAATGGCTCCCAATTCGTCAGCGCCGCAGTTTACGAGCACTGACTTCTCTCTTTTCTTTCCTCAACTCTCCATCGTTACCTGAATACCTCGTACCCCACTTCCGTTTCCTATGCTCCAATCACGATCGAAATCTTCGATCAACCAACAATATGCTTCTTCTATGCCCCCCTCACACCTCTAACTTCATCAACTCCTCCTTCTACGTCCAGTCAGTCCTCTGGAATGCCCTCCCTGCCGAAATCAGGATGTCAACAAATCGCCTCGCATTCAAGCGAAAAGTGCGCGATCTTCTTCGGGGTGAATTGGCGAAATAGTTACAGCTCTAGTTCCCGACTGAGTATTTATATATTTTATTAAATTTATGTAGGTTTATGTATGCATGTGTGTTTTTATATTGTGTATGTTTCTAGACCTAAATTATGTTAATTTCATACTTTATTTTGCACCTACCGCATCATATTTCTACATCACCTGAAGGTTGACTGGGAGAGAATGCCTAATGGCATTAAGTCCGCCTTTGTACAATATGTGCATTAAGTTTAAAATAAATAAATAAATAAATAAATTTGTTGCGTAGAACACTACCGAGAGTTTTACTTACGGAAGGGAAGCTATCGTCACTAAAAGAGGTTTCAGATTCATAGGCAGAAACATAATATTCATACAATAAATACACTATCTTTAGTACTATATATAGATTTCCACAATTAGCTCTCTGAGTAATCAACAAAATAATCAAATACAATAATTAAATAAATGTGATTCAATATATTATAGTATTGTAGAAATCACACCGTCACATTTCTAAGCGGCAGTTGGTAAGCGCAGTGCCACGCCAATGACAGCTCTTGACGTCAGTGGATGTCGTTACTAACGAGATTAGAGGTTTTTTTTTCATTATAAAATGTGTAACGATTACCATAAAACTCTAAACTTAATTTTTAACTGCAATTTAATAAAACTTTAATTGTAACCTAGTACAGTATCAGCAATAATTTTTATTTGTAAACCATTTACAAGTAAAATGTATCGATGATTAAATGATATTTATTTCTGTAAGTAAATGTTTTCAGATATTTTTACAAGTCCGATTTATCGCTACACTACTATATTTGATTTATGAAAAATTATAATTTAATTTTAATCTCGTGACGGTAGTATTTCATCATTTAAAAAATGGAGATATAAGCCACGGTCGTGTTTTTAAATTATCAAGGGGGTGCACATAAAATGCAATCCGGTTTAGCAGTATTAGGATGTATTAAGAGAGCAGTGTGTCATTGGCAGGAGGTGGAGGGCGCGGGCGCAGTGCGTGCGCTGCTGGGCGGGGGCCGCGCGGCGGAGGCGGGTGCGCTGTGCGGCGCGCTGCTTAAACGCGCGCTGGGCGCGCTCGTGTCCACCGCCCCTCCCCGCGACGCTCCGCTCGGCCTAGCCGACCTCATCCTGGCCGAGCTGCGCCATCACACGCAGGACCCCTACGTCGCACAGGTAGCGTGTCTCTCTTATCGACTACCTCACCGTCGACTGTAATTTTACCAGATACTAGTAATAGCAGTTAGAGATAAGAGCTGTTTCATATAATGTTAATTCATATTTTCTACAGGTTTACACGGATTTGCATAATTTGGTTGAAGAATACGTAAATGTTGTGAAAAGGACTTCTCAAGATATGAAGCTGGTCGGTTTGGGAAGATTCGTGAACTAAAATTAATATTAAAATCACCTTGTTTTTATTAAATGTTTTATTTCAAAAGGTACAATATTTTTCTGACACCATCTACACCACCTTGGCATATTAATAAATACTTTCGTTATAATTTTACCATTTTATATCGTTACGGGTAACTAAATTGTTTTCCATTGGCTGGGCCTCTTCACAGGTCAAAACGTAATATATTTATATATAGCTCGGCTTTTAATAAAATGTATATAAACATTATTTATTTGGTTTAAAATCGGAACTGTTTTCCTAAAATAAGACACGTTTACTTAACAAGTATTTTATTTAGAGCAGCATACATACACTGATCCCCATTAAAACGAAAAAATAAATAGAAACTACCTCCTACATTTACTTTTTAATGACATGAATTACAGGTTTTTGGCACATTGCGATTACCTATTTATAAAATAAGTTAGTATTTACTAAAAAGCTAACAATCTATCCACTTAAAATCAACGTCGCCCAGGTTTAATATCTAAAGAGCTACGATATATTTTTGAACCATATAAAAAAATAAGGAAAAAAATTGGGCTAGGGTTCCGCCCCTAGAACACCCTACCAAAGTTGCACCACAATCTGATCAATGGTTTTGTAACGCACAGGGGACAAACAAACATTGATTTTTATTTATATAGATAACTAGCTGCACCCTGCTACGCTTTGGTGTGGCACATTTTGGTTGCATTTAGGAAAAAAACTAACCCGAACAAAGTTTTCCCCAATATGTATTATAAACTTTAAAATACCATACCTATATCTACGTATTTGTTTAAAAAAAACAAATTCATGACGTCAACATTTTAAACAATCAATGTCGAAGTGACTCAGACAAAGAATAGTGTTAACGATGTAACAAAAATCGTAAACAAAACTTGTTTTTAAACATTGTCCTAGTAAGCACACATTGTGGACACTGTCTTCATCTTGCAGTTACTCACACGGAAAAATCTTTTTGACACAAATTAGATAACATGCAATAGCATTAAAAGGTAGGTCAACACCGGTGGAGGAAATTAGACATTATTATTATTACATTCCTAAGACTTTGATAACCGTTTCTCTTCTAGGTCGGAGTCATGAAGGCAGCTACAGAATTTAAATTTTCTTTAAATCGAGCAAAAACAAATACGGCATTTTGATTGACCGAGGTCATATCTTAACCAGTGAAAAAAGTAAAAACTAAAATCAATTGATTCTTGTGGAATCATACTAAGCAGTAAGTGCAGAATATTAACAGCCTCACTTGAACATTTGTATAATAATTCCAAGGCCAGTCATCTAACCAGTCAGCCAGGCACATAAATTGTAGACTTAACTTGGTAATAATGAGCAAGCATGCAATCTAAAGCAAAAATTTTATGATGTCCTAAGTAATTTAAAGATAGGTACCACGGTACCTCACCTGATATGCAGTACGCAGGGCCGCCGCTAGCTGTTTGAGCGCCCGCGTGCGATGCCGAAGAAGACGCCCTTTTTTCCGTGCGGAAATCGCCCTTCTGAAACCCCGTCCGGACAACCGGTGGGATGGTTGTGGACTTTATTTCATATTATTATTATTTTATCAGGTTGACCCGTTCGTCCCAAACGAGCAGACGGGTCACCTGATGGAAAGCGACTACGAACACCTGCAAGTCAGGAGTCACAAGCGCGTTGCCGGCCTTTGAGGAAGGAGTAAGCTTTTGAGGTCGTATCGGTCAGGAAATACCGCAGACTGACTTAGAAAAAGTGTCTTGAAAAGCGCACAGTCGTGGAGTTCGAATTATTTTATCGTTATTTCAATGAGTTTAGAAATCATATTATTTTATATCCATGTCATGAGATGCCGCACCATGTCTTGACATGCGGTTTCATTCTACGGATTCCGATCCGATCCACATAGGTGACAGGATTATAAAAAGCAACAAAAACATTCAAACACCGGTTTTCTGTGAAGCCGCGGCATCACTCCGGTTGAGCCTGCCCATTTTTGATTGGCTCTGTCACGGAAAGTTTCGTCTCAATGCGATCCGGACGGCGTCGCGTCGCCACCTATCACGCTTGTGGAGGACGGAGATCATTCAGCGACCTCGGGCGCTTGATCCGCCGGCGGTACCTGGTCCGTTTCCAGGCCTGGCGGGCCGAGTTCTAAGCCACTCCCGGTCCTACTTCGCCCTCTCTTCGCGAGGACAATTTACTCGTAGAAAGAGTTAACGGAGTTCTAGCACGCTTGCTCCGGCCGCAATCAGACACGAGGACATGCCTGTGCTCATCACACCCCGGGTGTTCTGACAGGTGCCACACATAGGTTTTGGTTCTTGGCGGATCAGACACAGGTGATATTCAAATCACCGTCACCCGGTATCAGAGGGTCCCGTGTTTATAATGGCGTGCGAAAACTAAGCCGCCCCATAATTTCCCGAACGTTAAACTATCGCCCGGTATGGGATATTTAGGAATCCTAATTCAATTTTATACAAAATTAAGCAAAAGTAATTCGAAGATTATAAACATTTGTATTTATTTTTGTACAACGATCAGTAGATGTTACTCTTATGACATAATAAAAACATATTAGACATGCAAATTATGAGAATGTTTCGTTTTCGCTTCGATTTCTGTTTTTACCGCCTCCTTGAACCTGTCCTCTGCTCACCTGTCCCCGGGGACCCTGGCACTACTATCCATCATCATGGATATACACAATTATATAAGTAGAGACCTGAAGAGATAGGTACCCACTTACCCATTTTCGACTTTAAATATATCGCGTAGAAATGTTGTTTTATCCTGTGGGGACAGTTTTTTTTCGGGATGAAAATCACGTTGCAGGGATGCAGAGAAACAAAATGTTATGATGATCCGAAGCACGATGAATGATGATGAACAAGCACGGTAGCGCGTGAAATACGAACAAAAATATCTATAATATAATATATAACTAATTAAATTTATTATCCAGTCGAGCAGCCTTTCCTAATGAGTTTCTTTGTATGAATACTAATGACCATGTAATACTATAATTTAATAATTTTCACACAACCGAGAAATGCCCACAGATGTGACTATATCTAAACAATGGCTTTAATAAAATTCAACGCTTAGCTAATCTTACTCTCATGATCGTTAAAACTAAACGAATAAGTTTTTCATAAATAATAAACATGAGAGCAGCCGTCATAACTGTTTGTAATAATTTGACTTCTAGTCCACGGAATGCTACCAGAGGTTTGGATTTCATATCTCTAAAAAGAGGTTTTAAGCTAGTGCCAGCGCGTAGCCTTGATTGTATCAACTGTAGAGGATACGTTAAAGTTGTTGCTACAGCTTTCGCGATAGCACCTATAATAAATGCAGTTAAAGTATGAAATGAGCCCTGGGATTTTAACTGTCTTTTTAAATATTCATAAACCATAAATTGGATAGCAGGATTGGAAACCAGCAGCAAGGATGGTAAGGTGCCAGACCATAGACCCTTTGCTCCTTCTTTTCTAAAAAGCTCAATAAGACCTTCTATTAGACTGTCACAAGATGTCTTTTCAAGCTTCATTCGAGTGTTGACAACCCATAGAGGTGAAGTTAAAAGCACATTTATACTGCCAGCAATTATACCGAACATCAAATCCTTTGCTGCAGTTGTATCTTTTGAATCTAGTTTCCGTAAACCATGAAAAGTATAAAAATATACAAAGTTAGATATTGAAAGTGACTGCAGAACCGGTGACAAGCCCCTGTACAGCGACTCAAGGCCTTCTTCGGCAGCTAATTTAACTAAAAGCTCAAATGTGGATCCACGCAGTTTATTGGAGTCTTCAACTGTAAAGAAAAAAAAAACAGTTTTATTAAAAGAGACATTAGAATAGGTTTTAACCATTGCTTGCATATAGAGTTCTTCAATAGAGCGACTCACTTCGTCCTAATATATTCCGTGCCTTTTTTAACTTTTTGCTGGCTTACTATATTCAAAAATAATGCGAGTTTTGTCATTGTACTTGTTCGCAATCTTTAAAACTAGCAAAGGATCTGAACCTCAAATTGCCTGCATTATGAATATCAGACAGGCTCAAACCTAAATGTGAGAATCTCTTTTAAATTTACAAAGGACAATGGCAGGTTCCTATACATAATTTTATTTGAACTGTTTTTTTCTTTTTTTTAAATTATTCTTGACCATTCTCATAACAAAATTACCAGCGAAAGAACTCTAGGAAAAAAGATAGTGTATTTTGAATGTTTCCAGGTTAAGTACTAACATATTGTTAATGTTTTGTTTGAAACTAGATGGCGTTGTGTCTCATTTAACCGAAAACATTGTTGTTATTATTATTACTCATAAACAACCCTATTTTGCTGTTGAAAGTGTTAGCTGAATCTCTAAAAGGGTGCAGGTTATTTTACCAATGGTGTAATACTAGCTATAAATAAATAAATTAATAATAAAATAATGATTTGAATAATTGTACTTCAATACACATTTACATAAGGCACTAGCAATTTGTTTATTTATTTAGTAATTAGACAGCTGGTAGTTGTTACCATATTTACTAAAATCTAAAGCATGCATCCGTTATATTGAGATTAATGCACAACATTGTAAGGCGTCACATCATGCATAACAGACTATACGAATCGACTATACGAAATTAAAAATAGAAAAACATAACATATATGCTAGTTTAACACTAAATTGAACAAAAAATAAAACAACTAAGAATTGCCGAGTAGGCAATGGTCATGAAATCGTGCGTGTGAGTGTCAAACGACAAGACTGGTGAGTGCGGTACTCGACAGGATCCAAACGGCGATATATGGACATTTTGAAAATATCGATGTATGTCTATTTATGAGCCGTTTTCAACGATACGTATATTGTTATACTGCAAACATTGTTAAAATAACGTAACTTTATTCTATTAATTTAGTCTAGCAAAAATCGTTGAAAAAGAGTAAAAAATATTCTAAATTATTTCTAATTATGATGATTTAATCACTACCGTGCGAGTGAACCTGTATGCAGAGTGTGCGTTACCCCAGCAAAATAATGTCGAAAATGGTCATTTAAACTTTATAGATAATTAGTTGCTCCCCTTCTGTAATTGTTAAGCACATTTTTAAATTTGTTTCACTTAAACTTTTTTAGTTATTTCAAAAAAACATTTCCTGCTGGAGTAACGTTTGAAACGTTACCGCAGCCAGACATTTTCTTTTTTAATTGTAATATTGAAATAAATTTTAGCTAAATAATTAGTTATCTGGACTAGGTAAATGTTACAACTTATTTGGTATTTGTATTTTCTTCGGCTGCGAAGTTATTCGAAATCCTGCTGGAGTAACGTTTGTGGGTTTGCTGGATCTCTGAAACGGGTAAGCGGATTGTAACCATCTTTTGTACATAACTTTTTAGGGATTAGTTTTAATTTGTTCGACAATAAAATAACAAAAATAATGGACCGTTTAAAAATTATTTAGGTAAGTATGAAAACACTTCAATACGTCCTAACACTTTAAATAAGACCTCTAAAGACTTACTTAAAACGTTATTCTATTGCTTGTAACTACCTTCAAATGTATACGAATTTTCGTAAGAATACTGTAAGTGACTAAAAAGTTATGATGAAATGTAGCTCTCCACGTTCACGATCACAATGTGTGCGGCCTTTTTTGGCCACCGATAAACCTGTGTGTGGATATATAAACTGAATGTTATGCCAACAATTAGTTGTTTAGTTCAGTTGTCTACCTGTAAAATTTCAGCGTAGTACATATAATAATTTACGAGATAATTAAATAAAAGTCATTAGAAGGTGCAAGACCGTGGTAACCCGACCATGTTTAGGTGGTTACAAAAAAGCGATCACCCAGTACATTGTGCTGGCTTTTAAAATATGTAGGATATTATTTGCAAGTTTACTACGGATATGTACATAAGTGTTACAAAAAACTACATGTTTTTTAAATATTTTTTATTTAGGATTGTTTATTGCATAATTAGTAATCAGCCGGGAGATTAGGTATTGTTTTGAATGCTTTTGTTTTCTCGTAATGTTTAGGTGAATTGTTTATAGTTGTTCATAGAATTGGTACCTGCGTAGTATTTGTTAATTGAAGTTTAATTTTAGGGTAGGTATAGGTAATTTAAGAAATATGAAATGAAATGATAAGTTTTGAAGAGTGTAAACGTATACGTTGTAAATAGGTATTTTGTGAATAGATGGGGATTTTTTTAAGTGATGAATCGACTTAGGCTAGAATATTGCGAACAAACTCTGTATTGCATTATTTCTGTAATAATGTTGAAGAAAATAAAATATTTGATCACAAAATCGCGGTGAGTTAAATTATAATAAAATAAATTATTTATGTAAAATTAGTAATAAGTGATATACCTACCTAAAAGTTATGATCGTTTTTAATTTGTTCACCCTGAACGAAATTTCAATATTAGCATTAGTAATTAATATCCTAAGACAAGAATTGACAATTACTTAAATTGAATCGAATTAGCATTAATGCCTATTATTAGTAATTAGGTACACACATATTGAAGAACTCTCAAGAATACGATAAATATTTGCAAAAATAGAAAGCGGAAGCGCACACGTACTTTACAACACGTATATTATCTGCCTAAGGGTCAAGTTTAGTGCACTAGATGCAAATTGCAAACAATAAAATATCCCTTCGCCCCTCCCCTCCCGCGTTCTAGCGAAGGATGTATTATCAGCGATTCTTGATTGACAAATATTATCTGACCAGTAATTTTATCTATAAAAATGTATCACTTTCACTCGATAAATTAAATTACCGTTATTATATCAAAATATCATTCAACAACTGTTCGTTTTTAACAGAAATCAACAGTCACGGGCTCAACGCTTAACGGTAGGTACATAGGTATAGATAATTCTCGGTTCTAGGTATAGACCACAGAACAATATTACCTACTCTTACGAGGTATACGACTGTTGGGCGATGCAATGTTGATGCATTCTAATTTACAACTGTATTCTTCTACTATTCGGTCTATTTTAACTTATTGTAGATGACTTGTTGCTTTAAATATTTTGATGCATTCAAGTCTAAGCTCTATACACCCCAAAATAAAATACAATTACTTTAGTGTCATTTCTTTACGAAAAAAATCAAAGAAATGAAACGATTTCTTATTGGTTTAAATTTTCGTTTTATTGCAGTCAGGTGAATCGTTCATACATGTATCTACATATTTATAATTTGAGCGGACCAGTGCAAATTTTCTGTTGATTGTAGCTCCGGTAGTAAAAAAGACTAAATAAATTTTAAGTAAAGAAACTAGTGCTTAAGATCAATTAGGGAAAAAAACAAAATAAATAATAGGTAATAATAATGAATAAATATTGAATGTATTTAACACTGTACGCAACTGTACCGAAATCGTAAGGTGTATTACACAAAACATTTTAAAAGACAGCGCAATGTACTGGGTGATCGCTTTTTTGTAACCACCTAAACATGGTCGGGTTACCACGGTCTTGCACCTTCTAATGACTTTTATTTAATTATCTCGTAAATTATTATATGTACTACGCTGAAATTTTACAGGTAGACAACTGAACTAAACAACTAATTGTTGGCATAACATTCAGTTTATATATCCACACACAGGTTTATCGGTGGCCAAAAAAGGCCGCACACATTGTGATCGTGAACGTGGAGAGCTACATTTCATCATAACTTTTTAGTCACTTACAGTATTCTTACGAAAATTCGTATACATTTGAAGGTAGTTACAAGCAATAGAATAACGTTTTAAGTAAGTCTTTAGAGGTCTTATTTAAAGTGTTAGGACGTATTGAAGTGTTTTCATACTTACCTAAATAATTTTTAAACGGTCCATTATTTTTGTTATTTTATTGTCGAACAAATTAAAACTAAAATCCCTAAAAAGTTATGTACAAAAGATGGTTACAATCCGCTTACCCGTTTCAGAGATCCAGCAAACCCACAAACGTTACTCCAGCAGGATTTCGAATAACTTCGCAGCCGAAGAAAATACAAATACCAAATAAGTTGTAACATTTACCTAGTCCAGATAACTAATTATTTAGCTAAAATTTATTTCAATATTACAATTAAAAAAGAAAATGTCTGGCTGCGGTAACGTTTCAAACGTTACTCCAGCAGGAAATGTTTTTTTGAAATAACTAAAAAAGTTTAAGTGAAACAAATTTAAAAATGTGCTTAACAATTACAGAAGGGGAGCAACTAATTATCTATAAAGTTTAAATGACCATTTTCGACATTATTTTGCTGGGGTAACGCACACGTATGCAGAAGCAAATTCATAATTATAAAAGGTGAACCTTCGGCAGATATTTCAGACAAAGCTATAAAAATCGATTTTCGATAAAACGTTTTATAATATAATAATGCCATCACGCATCCCTAGTCGGTTATACGCGATGGCGAATCTGACATTACGTACTAGTCAAATAAAATCTTCAAAAAATATCCGATCTTATACAGTAAGACTTATACAACACATGACGGTGTAATGAAAAATCATAGAAAAAATATTTATTAACTTTAATGTGAGTCAATTTTTTAAACGCTTGTGTTTTAGGTTTAAACTAATCCTGCAT